AGGGGAGGGGGGGGGGCTGGAGGACACGTGTCGATCCCTACGTGCCTGGTAGAAACTGCTCTACTTTTATTAAACTGCCGTAGCCTATCCTAGTATTTGATTCATTATTAAGATGCGTTTAATTGAGAGAAAAAAGATTTAGCAGATTTCCAGCGACAAAGCAGGCAGGAAATTACGCGACTTAACTCCAAAAGCATGTGTTTGTCAACGTGACCCTAGGATCACTTTATTGGTAGACTGCCAGCTGCGAAAATTTACCTGAGAAAAATAATGGTGTTAAGAAACTGGGGGTCCAGGAAAAAAAGAGAGTTCGCCCTCCATTAGATCCTTACAGGCAGGGTCTGTGTGACTTAAGCGGACGAGAAACTAGGCCGGGGTTTGGTTGTACACATTAGTGGGAACAGGATCATGGATTACTGGGGGACTGTCACGTACACTACACCAGCGCGCTTTGTGTCGATATGTCAATAAGCTTTAAAACTGTGATATTAATACTGTTGATATTTAATATCATTCGTGCCCTTTTAAGGTAAAACCCCCTGGCGACAGCACGGCTTTGTCTCTATCACAGTTTCTCTCCATTAATCGATTCCGACCATGAGAACTTAAATGCTGCTTATTTCACTCTTCGCTTGTTTTGTAATTAATACATATAGGACGAAGGCTTTTCCTTAATAACTGCTATTATTATCCTTGATTGTTTATCATGGCAGGTATGCTAATCGTAAGAGGCCCCATTTTGCATGTAAGGGTTTTCTAATAACTTGTTTCCCAAACCCCTCCAAACATTAAATGACCAAAATGAAAAAAAAAGATAAAGTTGAGATTATCACACATAATGCATTGAAAGTCAAGAGTAGAAAAAAAGTTAAAATGACAAAGATTGCTGCACGTCATCATACAAAATTAATTGTAAAAGACAAATGAAGGAGTGCAGTGAATAGGAGGCACTGTTTTAACCTTTTTAAAACATGGTTGAAAAGTATTGAAACCGTTTTTTTACTGCCGTTTATAAAAAGTTACAAAAGTAATGAAAAAAGACTTCTTATGTAAAAAAAAAATTGATTGAGAAAACTACTAATTAATAAAACTGAGAAAAAAACGAATCACAGCTTTTGTCAGGCTGTCAACGTTTTGCTGCCACCTGTCATCGACTGATAAATTTAAAGGGTTTTTTAGATTCATCACTAGACAAAGATCCTCCTCCCTAGGGAGACGAGATCGTGTACAGCCATTTTGAATTAGGTCCAAGAAAAAAAAACGATAGGCATATTGTCATCTTTTATAAACCGCAAACTGTAAGCTGGCGTGTGAAAAATTATAAGAAGCAGTTTCCTGTTAATTTATAATATATATATATATATATATATATATATATATATATATATATATATATATATATATATATATATTATAATGCGACGGAGACTTTCAATAAAATGTGTTTTGGATTGTTGGAAGTTTGAACCATACGGAAACCACGAGTCGGACCAAGAACTTCTACAGTCAGACATACAATTGAAAAAGGCCATTTATAACTTTACATAATATACTCTACTTACCCAGTGGAAAAGATTTCAAAATCTCAGCATACCGTGAAACGTCGCATATTTTAAACGTCATGAAATATGAATGTTTATCCTGTGATTAAATTAGGTGATAAAATTCAGATATGCATCACATGCAAACCATCTTCGCAACTGTATGATTAAAGTTCGGCTCTACTCGGCAAATAAACGTTTCTGGCGATGGTAAGATTACTGACAATTACACTGACATGTTATTATCCAGAGGTTCTTAAATTGTCTCGCATACAGTCGGTTGTTCACCCCATTCTTTGTTGAGTCTCTGCATTTCTTTGTAGAGCTTTGAAAAACGGCATCTCTGTTTCACCCAGGCCAAACGCGCCTACGCAGGTATTGGTGACGTTAAGACAAATGGGTGAGTTGGACGTTTTTTTATTTCTAAATATTTGTACATACGATATTTATTTAGATTTTTTTACCGCATAAAATTTTAGTTTCTTTCTGCAGAATACGAGTACTGGTAGCTACTTGTTTGAGCGTTTCCAAAGATTAATGAAATATGTAGGCTCTATCGCTGGTTACAGACGGTGAAACGCAATCTTATTCCCATAAGAATAACAATGATATTACAACTAATGGCAGATTTCAGACACTTTTATCAAAATAAGTAAAATAAGCGGCAACATAAATGATATACAATAAATTATATACTAGTAGTTAAAAGGGACAACAAAGTTGGGGTAAAAGTAGTACACTTAAAAAATTGAACTACCAGCACAGAGGTCAAGTACTGGGATCCATTCAGTCATGCCCAACAAACGAAAGGTCTACATTGACTGTAAAAGCAAGTTTAAACAAAAAAAGGCTGAAGAGCATCCAAATGGATTAACTGGTTCGCCACTTTGCTGAAGGTAATGTCCCTGTGATATTTCTGTCTGACAGATTTTTCTTAATTGTTTTACATGTATAGTTGACGCTACTGCATCCATATTTCGATTTAAAAAATGATAGGTACCCATGTTAACTTTGTTGCTACGGTGATTGGAACTTGGGATTCAATTACTATAGAAACCAGTGGGAAATTTAATTGTTTTTGCAAATGTTTTCATTTTTTCACAGATAAAGTGCTTTCATAGTCCATATCTCCTACACATGGTCTTCAGTACATAGAAAGATGAGAAAATGTTAATTTTGTTGCTATGGCTGATTTTTTTTTAAATTTTCTTGGTACACTTTTTAAAGCTGGTTTTGCGAGCAAAGTGTTTTCAACCACTACTTTCACCACACTCTCTGCTGATCTTTGTTTAAATATAAATTGAGAATATTCTGAAAAGAATTTGTGAATTGATTTTAGCCATCCTGTTCAGTTCAACTTTCGTGTATTGCTAGATCGCCAGATCACCAGCACTACACACACACACTNACATACACATACACACACACACACACACACACACACAAAAATCACCTTTCATACTCGATATTGTTGCACAGTGTACCAGAAGGACACTGCCTAAACATTGAAATCGGGTGGCAAATAATTATGTATATTTCCTTTCCAACGAACCTGAATTTAATCGAGAAGATCGAAATCAGAGCCTATATAATGAGCTGCAATTGCAGTTCACATAGTCTGGTCTTGTTATCTGATGTATCTCTAAGTCCACCAGTTAGTTAAGTGGTCAGACAAGTGCTCTAGCTGGACAACTAGCTATTATTAGAGTAAACGCCCGAGACACTGATACGCGATAAATCATGAATAAACCAAATGTCCGCAACCTTTAAGTTTGTTTAAATCTGTATGTGTCTGCAGTGCCCTCTAAAAGGTCCACAGATTGATTTCAGATTGAGTTTTGATTGATCTTATAATCCACAGGTGTATCTCTGCCTAATTGTTGACAGTGTTCAGCAAGGATTTTTGCAAGGAGCTAATATGAATAGAACATTCTAGAGGCCTCGTCAAACTTGTATAGAGTATGTATGCATTCCTTGTGGACCCTGTCATCTTTCATCTTGGAAACGGTCTATTACAAGGAAAGGCGCCTTCTCCTTCAATTTCACCAACGATTTCACTTTAAATATATACGATCTCGAAACAAAACTACTAAAGGGCAATGTTCCTCAATTCACCTACTTGAATTGACCCTTTTTGTGCTTGTGTACACTGTATGCACTAGAAACCACAATGAAATTACAAGCTAAAGATATGCTAATTAGCAATAAGTTGCTGTTACCTACTTCACGTATTTATAATTACGGTAAAGTCAAAGTTGATCCTACGAACACTTACTAATCTGGTGGCAACAGCAAAATGAATGAGAAGTACCAGAAATACAGGCAGATTTGACTTGGGGTGCCATATTTAGTCGGCGGATCAGTTAGTACTCGGATCATCTATTGTGAATGGCCCCTTGAATACCTGATACCTGAACTAGACACCGTAACGGTTGTTTCTCAGATAATCTGTGCTGATATCACTAATGGAAGTGTCCTAGTAGAATGAGCTAGTATAATGGTCGCTAATCGAGATGTATATCCGTCTGCTCGGTAGTAATAACGCCCCATTGAAAAGAAAACAAGATCTTGACAAATAAACTGCGGTGAAGTACGTGTACATGTATAAGTAGTAATTTGAATCTAACTAATTAAGTATGCCCAACCAAGATATCCAACAATCAGCTATAGCCGCCGAGTCGAGACGACTCCATGTGCATAGCATCCTCACTAAACCAATCGAAACACTTGTATACAAACTGCAACAAATAAAAATATATATGACCGACCGTTAACTATACTTTCTGATATCACAGGGGTCTCTTGTGTAGTGTGCAAGATAGAAGAAGAGATTCAACAGTTTTATAAGAGACTACTACTACAGTATCTACTCCTGTGGCCAGAGTCTAACTATATGAACCTTGTCATGCAGCAATAATAAACAACCTGCTGCGTTGAAAGATGTCTTTTCTCTGCGGGTTTGACTATGCATTGGGACAATCACGGATAAGGCACCGTCTCAAATGGAGTTTGTCGAGTGAAAAAAAAAAAACAAACCTTAAGCGAATTTCTGAACCAAATGAACAGACATTCAACTGTTGAGGCCGCCCCTCACCATTAACATAATTAAAGTATGTATAATTAAATGTAGTTGTCTTTCCTATTTCAATTCTAGGTGATACCCTTTTAAACCCTTGCAGCGCAATTAGTCCGGCAATTGGTGGGCTTCCTGTCCCTTGTAGTGGCGGTGTGATCAATCTTGAAGGGGTGTGTACCTTCAATCCGTTCTTTCTTCTCTTCGCTGCATCTGCTCAACTGTGCATCTGCCCGCCGCGGTATTACTTGGGCTTTGACTATACCACGGCTCCAAATATTCAAGTTAACTGTAGAAGCAGTAAGTATTTTAATTTAGATGTAACATTTCGCTAATGTGCCTCTTTTTAAACCCACAGGATTCTCTATCTAATTGTTATCCATTCGTTAAGGTCTTTATGTTTTATTTAAAGGAAATCGGCTTTAGTACTCATTGCGCGCGTCAAAACATTGTTTCTAGAAATGCAAGCTGCAGCTGGAAGTTAATATTGCCGTTTCCTCCATCCCTCCGGTTTCATTATTCATTTTGGGTTCGTTGCCCTTCGCTCAAAGCATTATTTCAAGCAATGTTTATTGAATGCTTCCGTTTCCACAATAAGCTAGTCCAAGCGCGTGTCTTGTATCTCATAACTTTAGAGCCATTACAGCTAAGATGATGGCATATGGCATAGAATACTAATTCACCATTCTTACTGTCTACACATTCATATTCAGTCTACATTCCCTATTAGTTTAACTCAGCTCTGTTCTGCCAGTGAAAGTATCATTAGTATGTAAATTCTTCCAAATATATACCAGGCCTACCCAACTACCAGACTCGGCACCTAAGGATCCTGAATTAACCGGTATATCGGACCACGCTACCCGTTTTCAAGGTGTGTGTCAGATCGCATTTCGGAGTTTCATACCCCAGAATAAATTTTGTAGCACGACTGCGGGCTCATCCACGCTCGGCTGAACAACCTGAAACTGTACTCTTACTTTAGAGTACTCTATTTTATCGTCTCTATGGGGTATATGGGGACTTTACGACATTCGGTTTGAATGTTTTAACCACTTTTGATAGGTTTTTTTTTGCATTGTATTAGATTAATGTGGCAGTCTAAGGTTCATCTAGGTGGCTTTCAAATTTATGCGCCCGGTTTTAAAATCATATAGCGATTTTACGACAATCGTTTACTATCCAATCAAGGTGACAGCCGAGCATGCCAGGGCTCATCCTGTCGGTGTTATGGCTGATACTCCGAAATGCGATCTGACACACACCTTGAAAACGGGTAGTGTGGTCCGATATACCGGTTAATTCAGGATCCTTAGGTGCAGAGTCTGGTAGTTGGGTAGGCCTGTATACAGTATATAGGATTTCGATTATATTTTATGAATTTTATACCAACGTTTTAATGTTTTTTCTGTGATAATTAGAAAAAATGGATAAATGGTTTCTCGTTAAGCTCGCACACGTACTATTAAGGTGTAGCAACCTATCACAATTTATTTCAATTCCGAAAAATGTACGCTAAAAACCCTTTATATCTTTAACACTAAATACACAAAACTCTACAAGCTAGTTTATCAGCTTATGCTTTGGGTGCATTCATGACATATTTTGCTTAATGTATATTTTCAGTAACAGGCTCACCCTGCCGGACTGATCTGGATTGTAAGTCGAGGACCATGGACTGTTTGGGTATATCATCGTTCAGCCAAGTCAACTTCGATGGCAGCGGCCTTATGTCTCCCATCGCCCAAGACCTCGTGGACATTCTTTTGGTAGCTTCAAGCTTTTAGATTGAGTCACGTATCTGTGTATTTTAGTCTGATTATATGAATTCTTTTAGGATGTGTCTCATTGCTCTCTCTAGAGTGGATTTCTTGTTTTAAAAAAAAATTGAACTGTATGTTTAATGCAAACGAGGGTTGTGACTTCAAGTAAATTAAAGTATATAAAAATTAAAAGGTAAATATTCTTAGAGGCTCTTAGAATGATATCATAAGATATACATTAACTAGCCATGCTCACACAAAAGTTAGTGTTTACGCAATCAGCAGCTAGTAATGTAATTGTTGTTTATGCTTTTCGATTTTCCATCTAAAACATCTTTATCGGGGAATGAAGCTCTCCAGGAAATGATCTCTATTCATGGAATATTAAAAGCAACAATTTCAATCCTACCTGCTGATTGAAGAAAACCCGTTATTTTATTCTGAGCGCATAACACAAATTCGTTTCTGATTCCATATTTCCACATTTCAGCCGGTTGCAACTCTGCTATGCGGCTTTAGTGATTTATACAGGACGTCTAGTATACCCCTCTTTTCTTGTAATGGGGTCTCCTCTGGTGTGATAGGCCAATGCCAGGAAGTCAAAACTACCCGTAAGTTTTAAGTAGTTTTCTGTGATATAGTAAGAAAACGAAACATTTTGTTATTTATTTTTTTTTATCTCCAAAGGAATTGTTACTTCATTTGTTAAATAAAGCGATTAGTGTGATAGATATCAGAAGATATTCATTTTCAAAATATCAATATTCCACGCTTCAAATATTCACTTCATGATACTCGTGAAGATGTATTCAGAACAAATATCGAAATCGAAAAAAGGGCTTGATACATTTTAATGGCTCAGTTAAGTTAATAGTTGATAGTAGCCAGGCATTAAATGGAGAGTGTTGACAATGGGATAAAGATCAATATCATATAGACTGGGTTCCCATACTTAGATCGATCCATCTGGATCGACCTAACTCCCTGGGGGTTCATGCTAAATTGCTATCAGCTCAAGAGGCTTAAATGTCTGCCACGCCTACCAAATCAGATAGGGGTAAAGATAATTACCCCCTAACAGTTTTACTAGGCGTGACAGACGTTTAAGCCGGTTAGTTTGATGGCAATTTAGCGTGAACCCCCAGGGAAATAGATCGATCCAAATATCTGTGGGAATGGTCCCATAGTCATAGAGGACTCCGCGCCAACTGTTTGCCCACTTTGCCTTTTAAACCGCATCCTTTGAAATGTACACCATCTAATCGAGCGAGAAAAAGAGGAACCTTTTAGTGACGTCATCTTGGCATCCAATGTACAATCAGTGAATATACCGTAGATACAGAAGAGGCACGGTGTCTCTTTCAGACATTATTATTTTCATTTTAAGTTGCATACTTAGTACACACAGATTAATAATTACATAGCCTCAATGAATTGCGTGTGTGTAAAAAGAAATAACAGTACTAGATACATGTACATGTACATCTGCATTCTTTTACGCATGACTTAGTCTCGAAACACATGTTCATGTTGATATCTCTCCTCTCTTCATAAAACGGATATTATGGTACGTAAAGCTTCTGAATTAAAACATAATTAGATGACAAATACATTCACTTTATTTCAGCATATGTCTAAATATACTGTATAAATTAATCAAATGTTTTTCGAGCTGAGAAATGAACTCAAAATCATATAATGATCAGATGTAAGGGCTTTATTTCATTTCAGTCGTGCGTATTCGGTCCGAAAACTTTCCCGACCGTACTTGGGGACTTGACCAAAACGGCGACGCCTTCATCAATCAGGGATTCAGCGGCAATATTTTCTACGTTGTCCCAGGCTTAACCGGACAACCAGGTACAGTGTCCTTCAACTCCGTGGAGTACCCGTGCTCCTATCTCCGTCACTTTAATTTTGCGCTGAGACTTGAAAGCTCGCAGAACCCAGCGAATCCCGAGATTTACAACGAGGACGCCACTTTTTACCCTCGACCCAACCAGTTTATCCCAGGGTTTACAGCTTACGAGTCGGTGAACTTTCCTGGCCAGTTTATCCGCCATCTTGGCTTCAGGCTGCTTTTGAATACGAACGACGGCTCTCCGTTATTCGCGAGAGATGCCAGTTTCAGCATTGAAAATATTGGTACGTAAGATAGTCGGTTGTTTACAAGCTGGGTGTAAAAATGTAAAAAACATCACATTGTTTTTCTGTCCAGTTGATATTGTGCTCGATCCGCGCTCTGTTTGTGAAAATAAGTGGCAATGTGTAAGATGGCGCAAGTGCCGTCAAAACTTACTAATTGGTGCTTTGAGAAACTTAACCCCCCCTCTCTCCCTCTCTCTCTCTCTGTGTGTGTGTGTGTGTGTGTGTGTGTGTATGTGTGTGTGTGTTTGTTTTAAAATAATGCTTGTTGCTTACAGAAATAATATGAAATTTATTTTTACATCATTTCAGATTTGCTGCAAAGTTGTAACAATTAACTTCAATCCACGTCGATGGAGCAGAGACTTTTGATACATACTCGTACATCGGAATAAAGAGTTCAAGTTCTGCGTGAAGAGTAACTTCCGTGATATTTATTCATGGAATAGACCAGGACCCCGTAACTCGAAAGCATCGCGCATTGCGACTGAGAGCAAGCGTCTCGATTCCATAACTCGCCCATACTCTTCCCATATAAAACATTGTAGCCTCTATGTGATATCGCTATTCGCAATACGCGATGCTTTCGAGTTACGGGGCCCTGGTGTATAACAACATAGGTGTTATCTTCAATTCATTTTTGGATTATTTGATCAAAGCAAGTAAAAATGGATTTCCAACACATTCATTGCATAATGTAGAGCTAAAAGGCTTTTGTTTGGTTAAAAGGACATAAATGTTTTTAAAACATTAAAACATGGGGCGACTGATATTGGCAGTCTTCCAAATACGTGGGCAAAGGGGTTTTTATTAAGAGTAAGCAAAATATATTAACGACTTAAGAAAATGTAAGAAAAGTAAGAACATAGAAGTAGAGAATAAGTCAATTTTTTGGTTAACAGAAATTCTTTAATTTGTAAATAATATATCCTTGTCTAATTTGCATCACATCAAAACTGTTGGCTTAGTAAGAGCCCCAAAGATGCATTTTATGCTAATGTATGCTATTGTGAAAATAGATCGTGATATTAAGTCTTTTTTCTCTTCTTTTGAAGTTGCTTGTACTTGTACATGCCACTATACAACGCGCCGGGTATGTCAGTTACGGAAGTGGGCCAGTGCTGTTGAAGCATTGTTCTCTTACTGAGTATCTCGCTGACCACGGCATTCTTATACTGCGACCAGTTGGTCTCCTCCGTGTACAGCCTCAATGCCTTTTTGTTATCCGGTATGACCATTTCTAAGTCACGCCTCCAAAGCTCTAGGTCGTTTAGATGTCCGTGTTTGTGGAGCGCAACTTTTGGAATCATGATGCACTGGACATTTGAATATGCGATGTAATAGGTGTCTGTTAAATTTTCACCTGAAAAAAATAGATAAATAAAGATTTTACAAAGGTTAGAAGCATAATGTTGCAGGCAGTGCAGTTTGCAATTACAGGCTTGACTTTAACTCTTGATTTTACTCTTCCTGCCTTACAAAAAGATGCAAAATCGGACAAAAAGGAAACTCAACGTACCATGTGTACTAGCCCATTTCAAATTCCTAGAACACATTTTAGAAAATGAATCTTTTTTTTTATTTTTTGCTCTTGCTGTATGACCATTGTCCAAAGAAGAAAAGCAGGGAATACGCCCTGCATGTTACTAAAACTTCCACTTTCACATGCAATACATTGTCACAGCTAACATACAGTTACACGTTCTAGATACTGTTGTCATTTCCACACTGACCCCTCTGACGCAATCACACTGTCGCTCCTAACACAATAATGTTGTCACACCAAACACAATAAAACAGTCACACATAACACAATAACACTCAACGCAATAATACTGTCACACATAACACAATAATGCCCTGTAATGCAATAACACTGTTACACGCAACACAACAACACCTAACACTGTCACAAATAATACAAGGACGTGGTCACACCTAACACAATGACACTGTCACACCTAACACATTCCACTCAACACAATGCTGTGCATTACCTACCGACACCAAAATAGTTCCCAGCTGTCAGCGTGAGTAGCACCCAGTGATGTCGCTCTTGGGCATAGCCCAGAATCTTTGTCCGCCGCCGGTCCTGACTTCTGGTGTGTGCATCATGCCGGCTAGCTGAGGGGAGAACCAGTCTGCTTCCCCAGGGGTAGAACTCCCGTAAGAGGTCCACACGGCGTACGACTTGGACTTGGCCGGTGTGGATGAAATAGACGTATTCTTCATCAGCGACACTGGTGTTGCCCAGTATGACCTGACGTGATGGTGAATATTATTTTTCATTCATATCAAACCGAAAGCAAAAAAAGTCATCTGTTTAATGATACGCGAGTTAAAAAATAATAAATTAATAAATAAAAATTAAAAATAAATAAATCGTCTTTTTCGTCCAAGGTTGGAATGAGCTTTTTTTTTTATATCAAAATGTCTTGATAAAAGACAGAATAAAGTACGATTCCTTATTTCTATTTTAAGGCACAGAGTTTTAATGTCAAATCCAATGGCGTCCTTTTTTAAATTAATTTTTTTTTTATTTATTTATCTCTCTTTCTTTTTTCTGTCTTTCTTTCTTTTTTTTTTGGGGGGGGGGGGAGGGGGGAGACTACCTTTTCCCTAGGAAACTCCACCATTCTACTAGGCCCAGTAGCCTCCTCTATCTCCTCCTTGGTCCAGTGGCTGATATGAGGCTGCTTCAGGAGAGCTGCCAGACGCTGATCCCACTCTATCTTGTACACTTTACTCAATACATTCTCAAAGTCGTGTTTGTCCATGCGTAAAAAATCGCAGTTTCCTGGAATTATTGGAATTATTGGATTTACCCTAAGATAATTGGACAGTTATAACAGGTTCTTCTCTTTTCATTTTTTAGACTTAAATTCGATAAGATTGCACCTACTTTTAAGTACACCACTTCTAATAGATTTTCTCCCAGTAGTAGTAGTAGTAGTAGTAGTAGTAGTAGAAGAAGAAGTAGCAGTAGTAATAATAGTAGTAGAATAAGTGACACATGAAATAGAAGTGGAGATACCAGTAATGTGATAAGCGACTCTTCAAATTTCGAGATATGGTGACTGGATCACTACGTTGTCAACGGATTCTTGGTAGCATGTATTATGAAGAATACATGTACAAAATATAACTTTGCCACCAATTATTAAAACTCATTATTGTCATATTTGTAATAATCTCTTTGTATGATTTTTACGGGCAGTAAATAACTGTTTACCTTTGCATATTATGGTTGCCGTCCGTCTTATATTATGTAGTAAGGCTAATTCTCCGAATGAGGCCCCCTCTCCCAGCTCTGCCAGCACCTGTGTATGTTTATGACCTGAAAATATATAATATATAAATACAGTTGCATAATATCACAACACGCCGTTGATTTAAGCCAAGGAGACCCGTGCAAGACAGGCATTGGAGGCTGGAGAAGAGGCTGGAAAATGAAAATGTCTTTTGAATTTCTTTTAAAATGTATTGCAGAAAATGTTTTTATTCTGTATCTGTATAATCTTTATTTAGAATTACCATTTTACTATATTTAAAAATATACCATCCAACTTTTAGTTGTAAATTATTATTATTATTATTATTATTATTATTATTATTGATTTTCGCAGACTTCCTTTCACAGATCACCACCAAAACTTCTATTTCTGAGCTAACCTGAAATATCCATCCGTCCAAGTGGAGCAATAATAATAATAATAATAATAATAATAATAATAATAATTATTATTATTATTATTATTATTATTATCGCAAGACACGATTCCCAAACGCATTTTTAAACCCAGTTTAGCCGTCTATCAATAAGCCCTCGTCATACCAGTGATCTTGTCCTCGTCAGTCCTCTTCACGACCACGGAACCTTTCACAATGAAGTAGAAATTGAAGCCGATATGGCCTTGCTTGATGACCACTCGCCCATCTTCGTAGCTGTCCAAGGATAATGTCCGGGCAAGCTCGTGTCTCACCGCCTTACCGTACTTCTCAAAGCACTGGAGGCTGGCAACGATATCCTAGAGGTTAAAAGGCGACAGGGTGAAGAATTTTGTCAACTGTGTTGTATTAGCTGGGGGGGGGGGGGGGGGGGGGGGGGAAGGAGAAAGGGGGGCGATGGGCCACATACAGACTTGACATTTAATATGGAATATTTCAGTTTCGAAGGTATGCCTAGGTAAAAATGCATTCTTTTTTCAAAAAACTCCGATCTCATATAAGATATGTGAATGGAGAAGTGTGTAGTCAGGTGTATCGCTTCCAATTAACTGAATACCAGGTTTGTTGCGCTGCTGCATTATGTAATATGCAGTGATTTAATTGGGTAGTGCTCCTTTGGGCAGGTCAAAGCTTGGCTTTGGCAAAGCATGGTTATGTCAAAAAAGTATCCATATGTCGGCAACTACTGCATAGAAGAATTTGAAATTTTGCATGCAAGTGGTCTGTTTTGCAGTGTGTAAAATTAGCTATGCAGTGCACTGCAAATTTGTCAATCTGTGGCAGAATGGCGCGAAAAAGTCAGAGATTGCCAGACAGATAATTGCGCCAAACGAAACGGTCCGCACAGTTTTATAGAGTAATGCCCAGACTGATGTACCTACACAGAGGCCACATCCAATGTATTGAAATCTTACCACCAGGGCACAGGACTTACTGTCTGTCGGGATATGCTGTTGCAACTAAACAAAAACCACCCAGTCCGTTCAGAATGAGGGCTAAATTGCCACCAAAACGCATTTTTCAAGGCCCTTAGCGAACACCAAACTGGTTTTAGCTGGTTAGAATACCAGACGACCTCAGGGGAACCCACTGTAAACAGCAAAACATTGTTGTATGTTTCTCTAATGAACTGGGGACCTTGACCGTTTCTGAGTTGAACACTGAAACCTCGTGACTTTCTTTATTGAGGTCAGATTTCACCTGTACCGCTCAACTAGTCAAAACAGAGTTTACAGACATACAGAAGAGACCATCGACTAAGCGTGTGCCGCGTCTAAAGTGACTAAGGCCATTAACAGCGTCAGTAATTGGAGTGGATACCACATTGGTGCCAAAACACCAATGATGGTCATCCACGAAAACCTGAACCAGATCAAATAAAGGAATAATCTGGGAACCACTTGACTATCATTTGATAGGGGGCACCTTAGGAACAATTTTAGGTTGCACGGTAAAATTGCCGGTACCCACAGAGCACTTTTAATAGCAGATTACTTACAGAACCAAAGGAATGAGCAGCTATCTTGGTAATCAAAATCGCCATATTTGAACCACATAGATAACATGTGGGTAGGCCATTACTCGCCGAATCAATGGTCTACATGTTCTACAACAAAACTGGACCAAATTGGACAGATTTTGACCGATGCCTGGAATGTTATTCCAGATTGAACTCTAAAAACCTAACCCAAGTAATGCCTTGCCACTTGAGAGCGCTGGTAGCAGACAGAAGAGGTCAAGCGTAACAGCGACCGTTACTGTGACTAGACACTGACATGGGGGTTCTTTGTGAGGCGTGTAACTCTTTTACAGAAAATAATTTGGAAAATATGGAGATCCAAAATATATCTTTTAATTATTATCGTATGACATAGAATAGGCAATGTGTTTTTGTTTGCTTCTCTGGCGAATCCGATTAATGAACTGATGTCACAATGACATCAAAGAGATAATTAAAAGTTATTTAAACGCGATTTTAATACTTATTTTCATTTATCAGTCAGCAAAATAGGAAAAAACTGATGAAAAATGATTGGGAAAAAAATATTCCATATTAAATGTCAAGTCTGTATATGAAGCACCCCCCCCCCCAAGCTTTGGAGCTTTTCTCAGCCAGTACGACAAGCAAAGCACGACAAACGAATTCTAAATATCTGCACATTACTGTAAAAGTGTCGACATTTTCATATTTGCATTTGGAAACAGATGTTTTTATCGTTGTACCCCGACGCAAATTCATGGACCCCCCTGGATCAACTTAAAATATATCAGAGCAAAGCAAAGAAGTTAATTTACCATTTTACCCAGCAGAAATCACCAAAAAGTATGTATAAGAAGAATCAATATTTTTATCATTAAAAACACTTCCTTTACCCTTCAGGTTAGTAAGGCAGATATCCTTCATTTAGCCCCTCCTAAGCCTATGTTATTCTAGTTAGACAAGAGGACGCACATATTTAGTGTCTTTAAGACAATCTACACTGCTATTTTCCAGCACCTCGATAGTCGTGACTTCTTCCTCCGTCCTTTCCCGGCTGTTTTTACGCAGAATCTCCCGCGCACGCTTCGTAATGTTACCGGAGCGCGCCTTGAAGTGCGAAGCGTTAAAGGACAGCAGGCCGTTCTCCTAGTATGTGAAAAGAGTGTAAACAATATGAGTTTTAATACAATTTTAAAAGCAACAGACATCAACAGATATCTTGATAATCGATTTCCTTTTGGACAATGATCAAACATTGGTTCAAGGGCGGTTTTAAATGCAGTAGTGTATACCAAATTTCATTTAAATGCTATAATTAATTGTCACCTAACTTTTTATGAATTTAACAGTTGTACTGATTTATATTATATTATATTCAGTTTGACTATTTTCAGTTGCAAATAAACATTATTATTATATTTCATTCTTAATCTATATATTCGTTTTTTATCATCTGATAAAAACCATACATTGTTGACAACAAAAGCGTTGGCGTGCTCCTCCTCTTCTATTTTTTGCTGTAGTTCATGAGACCAAGCGATGTTTGTCTTTACCATGCGAATTAGTTTTTTAAACCGTGGGCGTTTTTCGTCGTCTCTGCATGTCAGGCGAACTTCTTTTGGCCTGTATTAAAATAATAATGATTTTGATGTTCTTGACTTACCATACTTACATACCATTTTTTCTGACATACTTGTTACAATTTTGAAACTTGACAGCCACCGGGCAATTATTTTTCGAAGCTATATAGCAAAAGTCCGATTTTTTGTGAAAAATATAGCAATTTTATTATATATATGTTTCATTCCATTTTAGCTAAATTTTCCCGACAGATTTGATTTTTCGCACCTGGAAAATATCTTACAAGAGCAAGCATGACAATTTAATGGAAAAAAAAATACATGCAAACACTAAAAACTCTGCTATAATTACTACTGATCGAACATTAAAAAAAAAAAGGGTTCGTGCCTCAAAAATGAAAAAATAAAATTACCTCTTCAACACCGTCATAGCTTGATTTTCCTTGAATTCTTGGTTTTTGAATAGCGGAAATATGCTTTCTTGGCTTGGTTTGCTTGTTTCTTTTGAAATGCATACTTTCTTAGGACTCTTACTTTTGTTAGACTTGGGTCTTGGGTTCGCTCCCTCGATAGGGGGAAGGCTAACGTTGTCAGCCATATGAAACCGCGATTTCCCTCCCTGGTGATCCGTATTGTGCGCAAGGCATTTCGGGAAGGCCTTTGAAACTTTCTGCGCATTTCTTTTAGCGCATGGGTTCAATATCCGCTTCCGTTTTTAGATGCATGTGCAGGCCTCAGAAAGGCGAGACGGTGTTTGTAGTTGTATTAAGGCAAAAAGGTATGTGAGTTTGCATTGTTTGAACCGTTGATGTGTTCCAGTAATAACATACAACGAAATTCATACCATGCACCTAGTTTAAATGTACTGTTTGATCCTAATTGGACCTTACAGTGAGACCTTGAGTCGGACACGCAACTTTTCGCAGTTATTACATCTGTGCTACTTAAGCCACCTTAACACTGGACGGCGTCCTTTCTCCGTGCCGTAGTACGGCTCCGTTTGGGAGTAAAAAAAAACTACTTTGCGTGTCAGAAACTGGCCGATCGTTGAGCATTCATTCTGCAACCAAAGCGGTGCTTGCACCTCCTTTCTTCGACCACAGCAATGCCCGGGGTTTTAGTGTTATAAAACACGGTCTGTTATAAAACACGGTTTCTGTTAGTTACAGTTACTATTATTTTTTGTAGTGAAACAACAGAGTTAGAAACAGTCCAGCCGTAATATCAAAATGGTTGATACACCACTGTAAGTTAAAACAACAATTTTTTAATCTATATTCCAGGTTAAAAAAAAAAAACGCGGAATTCAAGAAAACATAAAGCCAAAGATCAAGATAAAGTAAAGAAAAAATGGAGCAGAACCTGACCCCAGAAGATGCCCAGGAGATAATGAAGGACCCCCGGTTCCAGGCCCTCCAGTTGGGACAAATGGTGTCCGCCAGCATAGTGAAAACTGCTGACATGTGCTTTGATGTTTGTATTAGTAGAGCAGACAGTTCACTGAGCTCGAGACAAGAAATGTGTGTAAAAAACTGTGTTGAAAGATTCCAGGAAGCCTCTCAGAAACTTACAAAGCAATTTCAAGTGAGGTTACAGCAAAGCCTTGCCAACAGAGGGCACTGAGGGACAGCACGTAGAATATTTTTTAAATGCTAGCAGGATGATTAAATTATCTTATACACTAATTTTGCACATCTTTTTAATGGAAGGAGACACTGTTATCCACGTGACAAAACTTCAGATTTTACATAAAGACACAAGACGTGAACCACACCTTTTCTATTATGTTTGGACCTCAGGGGAAATATGACTGAATGAATTCCCTGTAAATTGACACAATATGGAAAAGGGCAGGGGTTGGGTAAGAACTCGGTTCCAGGACGTGTACAATTATTATTAATGTCATTTTATCTGTTTTCACACTCAAACTATGTTTTCTTTGTCACCTGTAAATTGGATATGATCTTTCAGCTTGTCTAAATATCATACTTGGTTACGCTAGTTGTTTTGTAAACAAGATTGTTTATAGTATAAATTATAGTATAAAATTGATTCCAAGTCCATTTTGGAATTTGAATACAAGAATTATATGCAAAATAATGTTGTGTATTTTTTATTTGTACCAGAAGTTAAATAGATTGTTACACCTCCATTTCAGAATCTGTTAAATAACTGTTCTTATCTCAGTCACTTTTAAGTTATCATTTAATACCTTTGCACATCAATATTTATAAAATTAAAATCACAGACCAGCTTAACAGACAAGGCTCAAAAATACATTTTAAAAATATTTCTTTTCCCAAAACAAAATTATCATTTTGTGAAAAATATTGAGCTCAACAATAGTAATTTTGGTATGTAGAATGTCTAAATTTTTTTAACTTATTCACAAACAGTAATCTGTGTGGCAGAAAAGTTGTGAGTGCCCTTTTGTCTTTCCCCCTCAAAAGCATGAGCAAAATAATGAAGCAATTTTTCCATCACTATGTCATACATATTTTAATACATAAGACTGTCCTCTGCTACTGTTTAACATTAGAAGAGCAAAATGAGGAGAAAAGGATTTTTCGTCCCCCACCCCAATCTCATTCAAATTCTGAATCTTTTGTGTGTAAACTCCAGTCACAGTTCACATGTTGACATCACTCCTCTGTACTGCCCATTTCTATATCACCAGCATGTGCAGCACAGAACCTCAGTAGTTGTGTGTGGAAATGCTTCATCTGGCTGTCATTCTAGAATAAATATTGAAGGGCATTAAGGATATTGTAACCTTTTATTATCATCCAGATACCAAAAATGTGTTTTTTCCTGCACCTAATTATTCAATAATGCATTTATCTTTGTGCTGATTTAAAACAAAAAATGCCCTCAGAAATGCAATGTACAAGCATAGGCAACTCAAATTACCCAAAAGAATGTGTGTAAGGCAGTAAATAAGGAGTTTTGAGCAAAGGGTGACAATATCTTTAAATCTTTTTACCTCAACCAAAGCAGTTTCATCTTCATCAGTTTGTTTTCCAGTTTGTAACAAAAGGGTATTATCACTACTTTCATTCACCAAACTGATGATACTATAAGCCTATTACAGACTATCACACAGCAGTACAAATCACTATGTTTTGTTTTTCACTTTGGTATTGTTTTTTAAGACCACATTCCCAGCACATAAGAGTTGCACCCTTATGATGAAATGTTTATCCCACCCGGTCAAAGATATTCTCATGTTTTCTGGTCTCTGATAACACTGCAAACCCAAAAGTCTTTGTTTTAGGCTTTTTCAGATGATTTCCATTGATTTGAGGTATGGTTACCTGTGGTCCAATGTACGTCCCTATGTCTTGGTTTCTGCAGTGTCGTAAGGGCTGGACATTGAGAACAGAACAACCTGGCAAAACAATACCAGAAGAAATTATAGATAATCTGAATATTCAAGCTGATATATATGAAAGGTATAGAATTCAAATTGGACATTGATTTACCTCTGCCCCCCTCACCCCACCCCTCAAAAAAAAAAAAAAAAAAAAAAAAAAAAATTTTGCAAAATTAAATATTTAAAAACAGTTGAATGTGTATAGACATATCATAATCATGAGCCTCCCCCCCCCAAAAAAAAATTATAATAATAATCTTGAAAATCATTTCCAAAATCAAAATTTCCAAAGACAAATGAATGTGTAATGTGTAGCTGTAATGCCTCACCACATCTGTCTGTGATATATTCTTCATACAACAAGATGGCCATGACAGCATCTTCTGGAGTGACCTCTCTCCTTAGGCTTAGTTTGGCATGGGCTTTTGACAAGGAGGTCCTGAAGACAAGGTGGCTGCGTTATATTACTCTTAAACATTGCCCATGTATCTAGCAGACATTTATTATTGGAATTTCACAACATATTAATTAATTTTCATTAGCAAATTTATTCAGCTTGTACAAAATAAAGACGCAGTGAGAAGCAAGGTTTTTTGACAAATATCTTGTATGCACTGTAAAAGTACATTTTTACATGAATCACACAGGAGGAAGGGAATTGGGCATGATAAAATGCCTCTGAATAATTTACTCATATCTGCAACAATTTTTATTCATCACTGTTCAACTCCAAATTCATCACTGTTGAACTCCAATTGAAGATATTTTAATATTAAAAAAAAAAAAAAAAAAAAAACATAGACCAATGAGAGGATTGTACATTGGATTTATTGTCCACTTTGTTTAAAAATGCATTTTTTGAGTAGGGTTATGAATTATATGATTTTGAAATAATGTAGCATGCTTTTAAAAAAGATGACATAATGATTATGTGGCCCCTTAAAGAGTCAAATATAAGTAACCTACAGAGTTTTCATGGCAGTAACAGGGAAGTCTGTTCCTTGTACACTAGAGGAGCGCACTCGTCTACTTGCCACATAGTATCCACACAGGAGTTTGTCTGCTGCAGTGGTACAGGTGACTACCTGGCCTCTGACATACTGCACAAACTGAAATACAGAAACAAGCTTCAGGAAAAATCATTCAGTTGTCTATATTTGTGACAAAAATGAAAGCAGGTCATGTTATTATTATTATTTTTTGTACAACCTAATGCTGATAAGCAATCTACATAAACCTAAACTGGTCATGAAAAAAGGAAATACATAATCCATTTCTATAAGTCTAACATTACAGACTTTTTCGTTTCGTTCACTTATCAAAATTATTTATTTATTTTATTTATTCTTATTTGCAAAACTTAAAGCTGGTTTGCATTCTTCATATCCATTATGCAAAAAAGATGCTCTATTATCCAAGAATCATGCAATTATCATACAGTTTCATTCATTTTTTTGTATTGCTTAAAATCACTGCTGGGGTTATGTACTTATTGATTACATTTACGTTAATCTTTTTCTATAATTTTTTCTATAAGTTAAAGATGTCCCAGTGCTGACTAAAGTTTTCTTTCCATGAAATAATAATGACTAAAATATTTATAATAATACTTAAAGTTAAATTGAGCATTTTTTATGGTGAGGGAAATACATGTATGCATCACACATTTTTCTCTTTTCTTTACACAAAATTTACCTGCCTCATCTCTTCATTTGATATTAAAGGCACTGAGCTACTCTTAGGTTCCATAGCACTGACAAGAGTGTGAGAAATGATCAAATTGTCTGCATAACTTTCACTATCAGTGCTGTCTGTGAAAAAGACCATGCCAAACACACTGAAATATATAGTTAAAGCGTGGTTATCAATAAAATTTACCAATCTAAGCCCAAGGCCCACTTTATAATAATGTTAGTAGGGCAAGTGCTGTATATTGATACTCAAAACATTTTTTTCTTATTTTTTCCTGATTCCAAACAATCTATTGATCATTAAATTAAATGCACTTGATATCACCATGATATACAATTTCATTCATGAAATCATACCAGTCAATCAATAAATTAACAGACACAATCATTCACATGCCTGTAACCAGCAATTTCTAAAGGGGATTTTGTGATTGTAAAAGCGCACCCTTTTACCCCTTTACTTCAGCCCAACTGTTATCAAAATGGCATACTAGATAAAATTTTAATTCAGAGTAGATCTTTTTCTCTCCAAAAGGTGGTTCTGACTTCCTACCCATCCTACCCCACCCCACCCACCCACTGCCCATGGGTCCAATTCCAAAAAAATAAGATCCATACTCTGCTAGTGACTTGCTGATACAGCCCTTATCTTTTTGCACTTACAACTTGTTGATACAACCCATACCTTTCTGCACATATAACCCATCCCCCCGCCACTCCCATCCTAACCCAACCAGCCCACTCATCCACTGCCCATGGGTACAATACCAAAAAAATAATAAAAATAATAATAAAATAATAAAAAATATAAATAAATAAAAAATAAAATCCATACTCTGCTAGTGACTTGTTGATACAGCCCAAATCTTTCTGCACATATAACTGGTCAGTGATCACTGGTGGGTTGAAATGCCTGCTGGGTTCAGCATATGCCCACACACTGCAATTCAGGGGGAAGGTGACTTGCTGGGGAATACTGCCAACAGACTTGGAAGGAATGGTCACAGCAACTGTGTTGTTGTCCAGTACTGACCAGGAAAGAAAATGTCACAGTTATCATGTTTCTTTCCCAGTATCTGATTTTATTTATTTATTTGAGGCACACCAATATGCTACGCACAAATTCAAATATCTTAATATACATCATGCAAGCTATACATGTACAGTACTGCTGTACTTGATATATTATCACTAGCACATACCAATGCAAAAGATAACCGAAATAAATTTAAATCTGAATTAAAATGGCTAATATATCATAAAGGTGAAACAAAACTGATTTTAATGCAATGATTTTATAAGTAAATATAATCTTATCTGCTTAAATTGAGTAAGAATTTGTGAACCCCCCCCCAAAAAAAAAAAAAAAAAAAAAAAAAGAGTGACTTAACACATATTTTTATTATTATCTGTAGATAAAACAAAATTTAATAATTTTCAAGCCAGTTAAAAGGGCTAAAATATGATATATGCTTAATGGCTGCAAGATAACTCAGTTCTTTTCATATGTTATGGACACTACCTTGCTGAAGAGCCTCCTTTGTGGCCTTATTGAACCTGCCCATATCTCCCAGATAACACGCACCATCACCTGACATCAGCAGAGAGCCACCTGGAATTTTTAATACAGGCATAGTAAAAAAATTACATCTGTTGAAATAATGTATAAAAGATACATGCATATACTTGGAAAATTTCAATGGAAAATGAAGGTAAATATGAAAAAAGACATGATTAACAATAATCTATTGTGGTCATATTCTTCAACACTTTGACAAAAATATTTTAGTATTAAAATAAGAAAAGAAACCGATTGGTCTAGTTGTACATGTAAAAAGGTATGCAGAAAATAAATTTGTTACTTTCGTTCTTCTGAACAGAAAATTACCATCTATAAAGTAAGTGTCAGCACCATATCTGTCTTTATTTACTGCCCCCAAGAGGGTTTTCTCCTTAGAATGGTGTATAGCTCTACTGGGGAAGCTGGTGGCATATGTCATGAGTCTGTCTAGGATGAGAGTGTCAGATCCAACAGCTAGAAGACACAGTCTGCCGGGGAGAGAACTCTGCTGCAAATATAAATATTTAACATCACTGTGACATAGTCAGACACACAGGTACTGCAGTTAAATTGCTCAACGCAGTTTTAAATTAGAAGAAATATCATTTGTTAAACATAGTGATAATGAAAAATAATTTAGCAATAATTCAGCAAGCATTACCTTTATAATTATCATATACAAGATGGCAACAGCTAATTATTATTATTACACAATATTACACCAAATGTCCCAACTTCAGAAAGAACAGGTTGCATTAATTGGTGCAGAATCATTTAAAGTCAATTTATCAAAATTCAAACTATTAAATATAGTCTTACTTTGTCCAAGTCTTCTCTCCCCATCAGGCAAAGAAGTAATCCTAGTTTCAACCTCAGATAACTGCCAGGCGGAGAAATAGTCCCTGGATAGAAAATAAATGTATGGGGAAAAAAGAGAAGCAGTCACAGAGAGCACACCTATGCCAAGGCAGCTCAATCTTATTATAAATAAATAATTTTATTAATTAATGAATCACCACCACAATCAAATTGATTCTAAGGGCATATTCCCAGAGCTTTTAGATCGATCTATACCCGCGGGGAGTCTCACTAGATTACTGTCAGATAATCCAGCTTAAATGTCTGTCCCGCCTACTAGAAGCTGTAAGGGGGTAATTAACTTTCGTGCCCTCTCGGCTGACAGCTATTTAGCGTGAACTCCCAGGGAGTTAGGTCGATCTAGAGTAGATCGATCTAATCTCTGGGAATGGGGTCTAAGAGCACATTCAGAACAGTGGACCAACAGATCCACAGATCAAATAAGGCAACCCACTAAAAGCTTGCCGCTTAATTCCCAATTAGACACTGAATAGATTTCCTGTGGGGATTACGCAGCAAGCATTCAAGTGGATCTGCAATATATGATCTGTGGATCTGTTAGTCTGCTTTTCTGAATGCGCTCTTAATTAGCCTGTTTTTGACCTTTCCTGAAAATTTCATCAAATCCAATAGGCACCTATAACTTTTTGAATTTGGCTTTGAATTTGAAATATTGAAATATTGAATTTGAAATATTTTTAGTAACTTTGGAACCACTTAAGTCAAATAAAATAGTAAATAATTTAATAAAATATAATAATAATAATAATGATAACCTCCTTGGCAGAGATACAACATAATAATATAAGAAAACATGACGTGTACATGCACAGTATCCCTTAGGTGACATGTATAATAAATATTTGCAAAGAATAAAAATATGATTTACAGTAAAAATAAAAAGAAAATAACTAATTAACAATAAAGATGGATCAATAAGTAATAGCTTTTATCATATACATATGAATACTTTAATGCAACCTTACCTCCAAAAACATATGCTAGACTTAAAGCAAAGCTCCAGGGTGAATTTTGTCTGTCTGTAAAAAATAAGAGAAAAATAAACCAGTATTCAAATTTAATACTTGGCGTTTAATTGAAAATTCAAGTACATGTATATGCAGAACATTTAAAAAAGGCATTTTCAAATTGCTTCTTTTTAAAGCATCGTTTTTGTGGAGATGAAATAGTAGTTATGCATGTAAGGAACTTGATGGAGATACTTCTTAAAGCATAATGCTGAATAATTTTAGCTACTGTAGGGTGAACATTAAATTTTACAGAAATGTGGCTAGGAATTTCAAAAGGTAGCTAGGTTCTTTTTCTAAAAAGTGGGCCAAAATTTAACTCAGCCCTCCCCCTTCCTACAAACTTGTGTTTACTTACCTGTGTACAACTGTAATATCTGCTCTGGTATTAAATGCGAGTGGAGGTTAGGACTGCCAGTAGTCCATGGCAAATTCTGAAATTTCAGATTGAGGGGGTTACAGATAATATTGGACTTTAGACTCAAATTTTTTTACCACACTTGGTAATAATCATTGAAGAATGCTCACACACCTTCCTGTATATGTACCCCTGTACTAGTAAGACAACTTGGACTAAAGATATGATGGTTAAGCTACTTATACTCAGAACGTACTAGTAGTATAAGTTTAGGAAAGGGTATGGAGAATACAAAAATGTACATGCTACTTTTCACCAATCTTGTATGAAAATATCAAAAGATCTTTTATATTTCACTCAATTTGCAATTACTTAAAATGAATGTCATACATGTACCTGAGCAACATTGATATTAGAAGCTTCCAGGGCTACATTCACTTGGTTATTCTCCTGGAATTCATAGGTAGGAATCCCTATCACAGTGTACTTCTTGCCTATCTGAATGTCCTGAGAAAGTTCATCTAGAAAAATAAATTCAGTGCTCTGAATATCAAATTTAAATTGATCATTTTCAAATATTTTAATATCTTAATCAGATTAAAATCAGATTAACATCAGCTATGTATCCTTATATACAATGATTGAATTAGCCTTACAAAAAGTAATCATATCTCAGTATTTTTAAATGTACATGTATCAATCTTAATTCCCTTCGTCAACCTAAAGTTCCAGTCCCCTCGGCATCTTGCTGTAAAAAAAAAACAAAAACATTGTACTATAGTAGGTTATGCACATACCCCTTGTATAAAATGTTAGAGCCTGGAATCGTGTAGACCTCACCATGTCAGATATATACTGACTGTACTGGAATGCTTGCTCATCCATCATCTCAATTATAACCTTATCTGAAAGTTATGTAACAAAATCAAAATAAGATAAATATAATAAATGTCATGTCTGGGAAGTAAAAAAAAATTATTTACATTTTAGGCCATTTTTTTTCTTATTAGTTCCTGGCGTGTGTATACCAGCACATGTGCAAAATAATCATTACTAAGGTAATCAAGTAAATGCTACTAGGTTAAAATTAATCACCAATTTATTCATTTCCTCAAATTGCACAAGAAGTCAAATTCAAGTACCTGCCAATACTCTCTCACTCACATCTTCTTCTAATGGGGAGCCACAAAAACTACATTTAAAATCTTTCCTAAAATATGAGATAAAGATTTATTTTACCATAAACTGTGAACATTCAATTCACTTCAGAAACTCACAAATTTGTGTATATTTATTTGCATAACTGTTTTATATCCCATCTTAAGAAAATTACTCTCTTATTAAACAGTACAATGTACCATTGTCTGAAACAAAAGAAAAAACATTGCAAGTCAAAATCACGCATATACACAGGGGCGGGTTTAGGCTGTCTTCTTGGTCTTCTTGAAGACGGTCACATTTCCAAGTTTACATTGACTGGCATCTAATTTTATCTGTCGGACGATGGTCAAAAATGGAGGATGGATCAACAAAGATAACTTGGAAAACTGTCAGAAAATAGCTCTGGATCCCCCCCTGTATACATGTACCAGTATACTAGTATCTGTCTTACACAAAATGTACCAGTATGATTAACTGACATGACTCAAATGTTCACATTTTGCAGGATGACCAAGGTAACAAATTAAAATAAAACACGGTATAATTATGATTAATTTTTGTACACACTGGCAATATTTCATAAAAAGACCTCCACGTGCCCCTGGTTCAACCCCTATTACCCAGCATGTGTAATTAGTGAGGAGACAAACAGGTGTTTTATTTATCATAGTTTCCAACTTTGACTGGTCAAGTAGTCAATTAAACTCGCCACACCAAAGACAATAGCCATTTTTAGACAAGGNGTCAAGTAGTCAATTAAACTCGCCACACCAAAGACAATAGCCATTTTTAGACAAGGGTGCATTGCAATGAGTGCCACACCCAGACCCCAATACCGACAAAGCCCAAATTTTACGTGGAACGAGTTGAGATTATAGGTGACCTAAATCCATGAGATGGGTACGGGGGCCCTTACCGTCTAGGAGGAGAAGCGGTAACGGTAGCCGTCAGGCGGAGCCGGCGGAGCCAACGGAGCCGGCGGAACGATCCGGACGGGACCGAAACCATGTGTACCGCCAGCGCTAACGCTGGTGGTACAATAATGGACTTCCTGTGACCCAGTCCACTAGCCCTATTAAAACAAGATGTACAAATCTTACATCCTTGCCCTTAAGGCTTCACTGACTCACCTGATGGTGTGGATCTCCCTGGCTCCTGAGGTGTGAAGTCTTAGACTGCATTCCCACAGATTTTAGATCAATCTATCCCCAGGGGGAGTCTCACTAGATTACTGTCAGCTAAGCTGGCTTAAATGTCTGTCCCGCCTACTAAAAGCTGTAAGGGGGTAATTAACTTCTGTGCGCGCTCGGCAGACACCAATTTAGCGTGAAACCCCAGGGAGTTACTAGTAGGTCGATCCAGATGGATCGATCTAAATCTGTGGGAATGCAGACTTATAGTATCCTCACAACTCTTTGCTGACTCACCTGATGGTGTGGATCTCCCTGGCTCCTGAGCTGTGAAGTCTTATGTACCTGTTTCCTTGACCACCATCACAGCCTTCAATTGGGCAGTAAAACCTTGCACTCTGACTGAAAAAGAAAAAAAAAAAATGGGTTCATCACCTCATGTACTGAAGTAGTACTTAATTGCTACCATGTATACTGTTTAATATTTAGCAACTACAATTTTAAATTCATAATTTGAATGTTTATCAGTAAGAGCTCACAACAGAAGTAAATGTCCTATATCCTAGGAGGGTATTCTATATATTAACGGAATTGTCATGAGTAATAATATTATAACTAATTATAAATTATAACAGAAAAACAACTAATACATTTAAAGTACAAATAAAACATTGTACCACTGATTGATGAAAACTGTACAGTATAAAACATCATTGTGACTATATGAGGGTGAGTTAAATAACTTTTTAAAAACATTCCAAATTACTGGTATTTCATAGATAAGAAATATTTGTTTTGCTTTTAAATGCTGGTCTATAATGTCAAACTGAAATGATGTTGCATTCTCTAGCATCAAATTTTCAAATTAAAGAAATTGTGATAATTCTACTCACGTATATTTTGTGGCGATGGTTTTGCCTGTAACAATTCCTTCATACATATATAACCTCTGACCTTCTGAATGATTGGGAAAGTCTTTTGTACTGCTTATGAAATACCTGCACAAAACAAAAAATAATAATCTGTTAAAATAGTTGCTTCACTTTAAAATTTAGACAGCTGTGAATGATTATATAAAAATGATAATATAACTATCTAACTTATCACTATAAATTATCACCTACTACTATCAACTGCAAAAGTGAAAAAAAAAATAAAAATTTCACTTGCAAAACTTCTGGGTGTGTGTACATGAGTTAGAATTTATTATATGCAACATTTTATATGATAAATCTAAATTAAATCTTGAAATATAAAATCCAAAGCTGTACATTGCATACATCAAATGGATTCCTTCTGTTATGAAAATAATATTAAAGCTTGCTGAATGTTTCTTATGCCCAGTAATAATCATATTATGATATATACTTTTCTAGACGAGGTAAACTCAGTGGTCTTAGTACCACCATCACCTGACTGGCATCAGAACACTGGGGAAGCAGCTGAAGAACCTGAATGGCCCGGAAGATTACCTATAATAATAATAATAATAATAATAATAATAATAATAATAATAATAATAATAATTGAGGTTTATTTATTTCTTGGCAAAATATGTTACATATTGAATGCACAGGTAAATATATCTTAAATCATCAAACTTATGCCTGGTTATTATGTATTATTTTCCATTCTAATTCTTTTTCATCTCTCTGGGGAGAATACACCTGGAGCTGCACTCAGAGTTAACTGACAATATAAATGGAGGATAATATATCTTTTACAGTTATCAAGATTTGAAGTCTTTTTTTAATGTATGACCTAAATAAGGAACAGCTATATGTTTTTGTTCCAATCTTTATTTTCTGTTTTTCCATACTATGTGTGAATTTTTTTTCAGGAATATTTTTTCATTTACAGCACTTCTTTGTTAAATAAAAGGCAGATTAAGTCTTAACATTCAACAAAATAAGATTAAAAAATTCAACAAAGATAATAAAAACAATTTGCTAAGAAAGTAACTTACTGACTGGAATATTTTACAGGCTCCTGATGGTTTGTTGAGGATGAAATTACCAAATGATGCTGAAAACAAATAAAGAGCTTGTTTAGATGAGGCTGCAGGCCTGTAATACAGATTTATTTAAAAACAGAAGTTAAAATATATATGAAGATGAATAGCATAATTATTAAAAATAAAATGATAATAAAAAAACAGTACAAACGGACAGCAACATTTGTATGTATTTAAAGCTTCTAATATAAAAGTGTTTACAGGCATTGATATATTATGAAAAAACAAAATATCAACTGCATAAAACATTCCGACCATTCAAATCCAAGACATCTTCTGGTTCTACTGGAATACAAAATCTGAACACTGCATGCTTCTGGAAGAGTAGGGATAATGAACTATAGTTGCTATATAGTAGAAACAATACTAGTATCTGTAATTTGTAAAGAAGTCTCATGTATCTAGTGACTACAGTGCTGACTGGCAAGGGGCACAGATAATTAATATATTTTGATCAAGTTCAAAAACGTAAGAAGCGATAAATTCTTGACCAGACCTGTAATTTGCAAATGAAATGGTGATCTACACCTGAACGCAGACTTAATTTCAAGTTTTTATCTACGCAAGCAGTGAATTATATAGCTTCGTGTGGGTAATTTTAATGTCAGTCTATACCTTTTCTGTTTGTGCGCCAAGAGTTCTGCAAGTCCTTTTGATGTCTTCTAACGTACCCGTTTGATCTAAATATTCCAGTGCTGCTATTCTGTATTCTAAAAGCTTCTGATCCATCTTGCCTTCAAAGCAAGAAATGCTAATTTTAAAACTAAGAAATTATAACTTTACAAAATATTAGAACAGTAGATCCTGCTAATTGAACCTTTTTTCAACACCGGAAATTTCGATAAAAGATTATCATTGGATAAGAAATAAAGTTTTTACATCCTGCTTGTTTACATTTCGCCCAAATTTCTCTCAGAAGCAGACGACGTCACGTGACTCAGCCTTTAAATGCAAAAAAACCCCAGCAGATTGCGCAGCCGTCCGCGCAGACATTTCTCACATCCGGTATAAAAAAATTCACAAAGAACAAATTGCCACATGATTAAATAAAATATCAGCAGGATTTCTATTTTATAAAATCTCATTCTCTGACCGTCACAATCGAATGCTGCAAAGGTGTGAACACTGCACTCAAACAATAAAGACCTTCGTTGATCCTTTCTTGATGTTGTTGTTGTAGTTGAGATGACAAATGTGCCGAGATGTGCGACGTCGCAGAACGCAAATTAGGGCTGTGGCAGAATTCTGGCGATCTAGCAATACCCGAAAGATGAAGTAAACTGACTGGATAAAATTCTTTCACGAATGCTTTTCAATGAATTAAGGAAAATTCTCGATTTATATTCACGGGTTGTTGGGTGAAATGCTTTGCTTGCAGAGTAGGCCCTAAATAGGCCTACATTAAAAATGTATCTTATAGGCCTATCTAGGGCCTACCTAGAAATGAAAAAAATAAATATAATAAAAAAAGTTGCCATAGTAACAAAATTTGCATGGGAACCGATCAATTTTTTCATCTATGTCTGTCATGTGTACTAAAGACCATGTGTAGGAGATATGGAATCTGAATGCACTTCATCTGTAAAGAAAATTAAAAATATATGCAAAAGATTTTATAAGGAGCTGTGGATGGCATTTGGGGGATTTTCAAACTCATGCCGCAGGCCCGTAGCCAGGGGGGGTTCGAAAGAACCACCCCCTTTTGCTGGGAAAAGGTCCACTCCAGGTAAAATTTGATCTAGGTACATGAAGTTTTTAAGGGAAAAGGTCCACCAGCCAACGTGTATAAATTTTGATGAAATTTACAAATTAGGCCCTGTACATTTTTGCCAATTTTAGCAAAAACACATGATCAAAGGATTTCATGTTTTGCATCACTACAATTTCAACAACTTTGTTCATCACTTCTAGTATTAAAACGTTCTAACATTGTTATAAAAATATGTGTCGGTTATATTTAGGCCTACCCATATGCCGAGCAGAAGGCGCGCCATCCGATGTCGGTATAACTTGTGGTTGATTACGAATTGGGGTTGGGGTTAGTCGGCGACTAGAGCGATGAGGATTTTAGAACCCTCGAACTGTCGGTACCTACCCGAAATTACCTACATGTGTATGATGAAAAGCCTTAAAAAAACCTTTAAAAACAGACTTCAATAATGTAATAAGATTTATCAAAATTATAAAAAAGTGTTTTATAGTAATGCTGATAGTTGATTGGCGTTTGTTATGAATTAATGGATTGTTTTAACTTCATTTTAGAAAATTTATTCTAATTAATTGCTTACAAGGTCAGAAGTGACGACTTGATTGATGCAAGTAAGGTTGAATAGTACGCCACGGGGGTCCATTCAGTTAGAGGGGTGTCAGGTGGGGCGACTCCATTACAAATAAAGGGGTGTTATGTCGGGTGATTCTATTCCATAAGAGGGGTAGCAGGTGGGGCGAGTCCATTGCATTAGAGGGGTGACAGGTGGGGCGAGTCCATTATTGCATTAGAGGGGGTGACAGGTGGGGCGAGTCCATTGCATTAGAGGGGTGTCAGGTCCGGCGAGTCCATTATTGCATTAGAGGGGTGTCAGGTCGGGCGAGTCCATTTCATTAGAGGGGTGACAGGTGGGGCGAGTCCATTGTATTAGAAGGGGGTGACAGGGGGGGNGCGAGTTCATTGCATTAGAGGGGTGTCAGGTGGGGCGAGTCTATTGCATAAGAGGGGAGACAGGTGGGGCGAATCTTGTAATTATTCCAGTTTGGTTCAGAGAACAGGAACTGAAGAAATTGTTCTATGTTATACCCTCAGAAATCAAAATTTTGACCAATTTCAGACGAATCCATTTTTAAAAGGCTCACTTGATTTAAGCTAACATCAGAATCATCCCACCTTTTCATTATTACGTTCAAATATCATAATAAATATTCATACTAAGATTAGGCCGTCAGAATGGGACCCTCCCTATATAAGAATATATAGGAAAATTTTGATCCAAATGAATATGTTCCATATGGTATAGAACAAAAATCTGAATTTTTTAAAACCCAGGATTGTAAATTTATATAAATTTGATCTATAAAATATAGGTTGTTGGAAACCATTTTAGATATTTTATTTGAGTGCGCTAAAACAGCTTGGAGGGGTTATTTAGAAAATACTGGTCATTTTACAACTATTTAAAATTTAGGTACTACTAAAAACCGTCAATTTGAAAGTCCTCAAACACTAAAAAATTCTCATTTTTATTATAATTACTACTATCCTTATCATAATAATTTCATAACAAAATGCAAAATAAAACGCCAAATTACAAAAATTTTTTTTATTGAGTTTTCATATAATAGCTGCACGAAGGAGAGTGGGGTTCCTGTGTGTGAAACAAAAGCTGGGCATCGTAGGTTGCTTTCAGGCGGATGCTGTGCAGAATCTCGTTGAGCTCCTGAAAAGATAAAATAATGTTTACAAATTTGAACTAAACGGACAGGCTCTTTACAATCTAATAATGCATGTACAGTAATATCACAGGGGAGAGGTATACTTATAATTGAAATGGCGCGAGCGTTTATTACTAGCGCAAAACCAAAACTATGATCTGGAATTAGCTAAGTATATAACTTTCTGAGACCTCTTGTTAAAAAAGTAACATTGATATCACAACCCGTTTCATTTGCAGGGTGGGCGAGACTACTGCTACGACCGTTAATATATATTCCTCTTGATATCAAAAATTATAACACGTGTTGTAGTACACGTTGACACATTTCAGAGAAGCGTAAAAAAGAGGTCAATTACAAATTCTCTAATTATAGCAAATATATTGCACATGTAAAATATGGTTGTACAATCAAGTTTTAGTATAGTGAATCGTTAATGATTGAGCAAAATACGGCTCACTGGAGACGACAGACTGTGTAAAATGTGTATCTGTTAATCGCTGTACAATGAGCACTCAAAAATCCTTAGATCAGAAGCTCAGAACTGTGACAAGCAACATCTTATTAATTAATCAGTGATCTTGGTGGTAATATATTTAAACACGTGCGCCATTTTGATTTAGGCCAAAAATATTCAAAATCACTTGTCAAGGGGCACAAAAACAGAGCTAAAAAAAGTGCAAAGCTAAAATATTTCAAGGAAACTTAATCATCAAAAGCCAGATGATAGCCCCGTTCATCCCGTACATTTGGAGTCCCAATGCATTGTTACCAATAAATTCTACCATTCTGAGTGACAAACAAGTAACAATGGAAATACAGTGAAAGGATTCATGTCATAAATATTTGTCATTAATACATTACTAATTTTGTATTCTTTCCTTAGTCTGTGCCTTTGGTTTTTATGGGGGCGGTTATTGAATAAATAGTGATACTTACAAATGTGAATTTGTTTCCATGCCTTATAAAAGTTCAGCCTTGTCACTGCACCACACATACTGTTGCGTCTACACCCGACTTTGTCCTACTGTCTAGTGAGCATTCGGGAAGACAGCTCGCATTGCGATGGGCAACTTATTGTTATGCAAATTGCAACAGGTACGGCTCATTTTAGGTGAGAGGTCGTTACTGAAACTTTTCACGAATGTTCACATTTTGCTCAGATAGGGGAATTGTCCTGCTGACTAAAATTAAACTTTCAGCATCAAACCCACTTTCGCCGTGCATGTAATCAGCAGTTAGGTTTTTAATCATGCGGGACGTCAATGATGTATGAATAATATCATTTTGAGTTTTTCATAGTCTTACATATATCTAGATTTTCGACGGGTGTGACGACCCGATATGTCCGACAGGCCAGATATGTCCTACGACCAGAGAACAGGCCAGATATGTCCGACAAAAAAGAGCCAGATGTGTCCGACAGGCCAGATATGTCCGACAAAAAAGAGCCAGATGTGTCCGACAGGCCAGATATGTTGGACACATTTGGCTCTTTTTTGTCGGACATATTGGGTAGTCACAACGGGTCTTTCATGTGGTCAGACCCTTGATAAAACGTCAAGGTCCATATGAATGAGTACATGTAACAAGGACCGAATATAGTTTGGTGGGTTCTAGTATGACCACTGAAAAACATGTTTTGTTTCTTTACTTTTTTTTATCGATTTAATTATTTACCAATCAGACCGTTAAGATTAGATTACTTATGCAGGATCATTGAAGTTGAACGATGAAGATAACGTGATCATAACCAAGGACTGTCTGACAGAGAGTCCTTCATTAAGCTTTACAGCAATTTTTTTGGGCGTAATCGTCGTACGAAGTCTTAAAAAGCACAATCATTGAAAAAAACTCCTTTTATCAAGATAACTCCGATATAAGAAATTTGAGGTCGACAGCGAAAACTACCTGCTGCATTGCTTTCGAACAAGGCCTAGCCTATTGCTCGTGATCCTCTTCTCACAAGCTTCAAGTACCGATGTTAGTTACGTGGCTTCAAGTGCATACAATTCGTTATTTTCAGGCACTTTAGGGTTTAATATTATTTTTACCCCCCCCCCCCCAAAAAAAAAATGCCAAGACAGACTGCATTTTTGACGCTCCATAGATATTTTACTTGAAGGGGTAGTGGTAGGGTGGGTGGGATGGAGGGGGGGGGGGGTTGCTACAGATCAAAAGTGTTGAATATTATCATTATATTATTGTTATTACTTTCACGGAGAATATGACCCTATAAAGAGACCTTTTGAATTCGACGCAGGTTAATGGACCAGTAAAGCTTTGTAAATCTAGGGCCCATACATGCATGACCTTGCTAAAATGGCAAAACGCAAAAAGATATATTAAAAACTATAATTATGGAATATGCTATTAGTGCTTTAGTGACTTACAGTGAAATTATATTTCGCTATCGCGCTATCTTAATTGAATTTCCAGGGCGTCGATGAAAAGGGGTGACACGCGCGCTTCTTAAGTTCTATATATTTATGATTTTAATGTGACACCAATGAAGTTTAATTCTTAGTGAGGCGTAAGTAAGGAACGCACAAAACTCATTTGTGTACACATTTTGAAATAACTCTCAGTAAAAAGTAATATTAAGGTTAGCTCAACTGGGTGTTAAGGACAAGGGAACTTTCTTTGCAGCATGATTGTGTATAATAAATATGTTAATTATGATATATTTCCCTTGTTTTTTTAAAGAAGTAAATATTTATTGCTCAATGGCTGCTATCCGAAAATTGCAAATATTAAGCATCCGAATATTGTATGATTCAATCAAGATTATGACTAAAAATTGATTAAAATCAATCAAATTGCTAACGGTTAAATATGTATTTTTGGTCGAACTGAAATTAGTGCCCAAAATACTGTCAATATGTTATTTATTCTGACGGTATAATCTAGATTTGGTCTTAAGTCAAACTTCTGAACATTAGTTTTAATGAAATTCCATCCGCTAATTAATTTCAATCGAGTCACACTTTTCTTTCTTCATCTCTGCTAATAACGAGGACACGATGAATCAATAAAATACACCCTTTCAATTTTCATTCCAATCTGAGTCAATGGATTGTGCATTCTTTCTGAATCAGCCACATGGTCACCGCAGTTAAATATATTCATAGTCAAAGTTTGGATGGCTTCTTTGCACGCCACCCCACGCAGCCATGTTCCCATGGCTTTTGAGATAATAAGGCCGACTTTATCAGGAACAAGGCATTTTCATTCTGGACGCCGACTACTGCACACGATCTCCGAGGACTCCGTTCTAAGCGGGAAAAAAATTGACACAATGGAAAAGATGACTGTATTGTTAGCGTTTCTAGCTGTTACCTTGCGCACAGGTAAGTTGTATGTATAATGGCAGCTTTTTAGGCTGGCGTTTATTTTCAGGATTTTACTTAATCTTTTTCTCTTGGTGTATGGAGGTATTTTATACCCACTTTTGTGCTTACAGAGTTCTGCGTTTTTCTTCAGTTGCAGTTTGACCAATCTTTTGCTGGTCTCTTTACGTTTGATACCTTTGTAAAATAAACGAATCCTAAAGGTATTAATTTGCTAAAACTGTTTACATGTTAAAGACAAACAAAACAAAACCGGTATCTTTTTAATGGATATTATAGACAATTTTTTTTCATTGCATTTTTCTAAAGGATTGGGTGGGCAAGAGAGAATCGTTTGTGATAAAATGATGACTGCAATTTAGTCTTTATTTATCCTGAAGTATGCAAAAGAAAGACGTTTAACATGTTTTCAACGAAATAAAGGCGAAATAGAATAGAAACTTGAATTAAAACGGATTAAAATTTTAGGTGTCGCTATGAGAGACTGAAGGTAACAGCTGAAAGAAGCGTTTTCATATTCATTACAATTATGCAACGTAAATATCAAATGTCTTTCTTTTATTAACTTTTTGATAAATAATCTGTCGTGTCTGAATTTTATTGTTTTTATCTTTCTTTAATTATTTGAAAGCGTCTCGCAGAGTTTCAAAAATAGGTAAAGAATTGCTTATATCATATACCTAGAAAAATGCATAGATAAAAATTGTTTACGTGAAAGGCGTGAGGTCGTACTCATATTATAAAATTCTAACTATAGGGGGAAAAGGGCAGCGGCTGCACAGTATATAAATACGACTGTGGGAAATCTCTCATCAAAACAAACCCCTCTCTGTAAGGTGCGTTCGACATCATCTTTATCTCAGATCTAATGACTTTTCAAATTATAGTCTAGAATTAGGGTGACTGGCTCGGTGTGAAAATGGAAAGTGAGCGCTAAACGCGGGGGGTCATCTTCTGACGTCACGTGCTCTCGTGACTTGAGATTATAGGTACAAGGCAGCTGGCGTACGATATCTATTAATATGAGGCGTGGAGGGGAGGACTGCTGTAAATAACATGGGCGAGAGATTGTGGTTGATTCTACCCATAATTTTTATGAAATAAAATTTTCTTTTATAGTTGTCAAGTGTAAATTCGTGATTTTTTTTGGGGGGAGGGGGGATTAGCGTGCAGTTTAATGAATTTCTCAAGATATACGCGCAAGATATAATCTAGCACATTTTTAAACGCCCTTGGTTATCTTCGAAACCTTAGCCATTTTATGAAGAATACCTCTTATCTGAAGTTTATTTAAAACACTAAATTACAGAAAGTTTAGATAAATTAAAAAGACGCGTTTGAATTTAAATTATGAAGGACAGCACACAACATTTATAATACATGTACGTCCATCCATACTTCAATAATTTTTTAGGTAATATTGCGTGTGTAAACTTAGCGACAAAGACAGCATTTGTAACGAAAGAAAAATTTAGCACAGATATTTAAAAGACATGGGCACTGCAATACTGAAAAATCGAAAATATCTCGGAATGATAACTTATTTCTAATCTGATCTTAGGGGTCGCGTGTTCCCATATACAATATAATTAACGCACTCTTTACACCGAAAAGGTAGGTCATCTTTGAAAGAATGCGGACCTTAGTGCGACTAGTTGTAATGAATTGTTAATATTGCTTCTGTTGAAGCTGATGCAAAAAAAAAAAAAAAATTATTATGTTATTTTGCTTCGTCTTTAAAAACATTTATGTCTTTCATATACGAAAGAAAGCCTGCAAAAACAATCACGTCAATAAACGTAAAAGCAAAGGTCATTTTGTTCTATGGTCGCACAGTAGGCCTAAGAAAATGAAAATGCAAGAGAAACAGAGTCCTTTAAGTGTGACTGTGGAACCTCGTGGTTTTAGCTACAAGCTGTCTGTCTTAACAAGCGGATGATTTAGTACGTAGTGGTCAATTAAAATTGTCCGGTCCAGATTAGACTGTCAGTTTAATGCGTTTCTAACAATACCTGTCACCTTTGTGATGGCTACTCTCATGCAACGCCACGCTTAGCATTTTTAGATAACGTAGAGAAGCCGAGACCGACGCCAGCCAACAACTTCCTAAAATAGGTATATGGAGTTTGTGTGTGTGTATGTGCTTATACCCAAATTGATGTTTCATAAGTTCCCAAGTTCCCAAGAGTTTAAGAGCAATGGGGTTTTCCCTCATATCCTTGGGAAAATGATATACAGCAAATTCTAGATACGCATTTACGTGCAGGCGCAAATCTATCACGTAAGTGAAGGAATGTCACCATAGGCAGGCAGCGTCTAATCGTTCTACACAGGGCCACTCCTTTCTGTGAGAAAAGTGATAATACGTGAGAAAAAATAAATATATGGGCAAATGGACAGATAGCTAAGGACACACCGATGGACAAAAGTGAAAATCATCAGTTTGCTTTGGTAACACTATAATTCAGACGAGGACGATTGGGCGGCTCATTGCTATTTGTTAGTCTGACTAATCTGGAGTTGACCAATTACAAGATATTTAAGATAGTGACTAACCCGTGTGAACCAATCAAAAGCCTCAAAGGAAAAGTTTCCCACGACTTTTGTGGAATAAATTGATTCTAATAACCACTGGTTGAAGGAAACATTTTCATCCCGTTTCGAATGACTAGCGAATTATTTCGTTTGCAGCTCAAATGACCGGTAAATAAAAAAAGGAATGAATCATTTAGGGCCATTTTGAATTAATTTTTTTACCAAGGCGTAACCTAATTAAAATATAGTTCACTGCATTTGTACATTTTTCACAATCCACGTCAAAGACTAGATCTCATGTACTAGTGTATATTTCGAATCACCTCATTATGATATCGTTTTTAATTTGGTTTTAAAGCCTTAGCAATAAGAAATATTTCACGCATCTCAGTGTAACATTGTACAAGTATATAAGTTTGACTTTTCATTACATGCCGTATAATTCACCTCACTGTTGCCACAATTAGTTCATTGTTACATTTCATCCTTATCCGGGATTTTCAAAGGTCTCTCACGTATTTCAAACCAGTTCAATGTAGTAGCGTGTTTTTTTCAGCCCTTGCCGTAGATTGCATCTCGTGTATATCTGTGATGACCACCAACTTCCAAGTGATGACCAGTCTCCAACAGATGTATGGTGATAATTACGACAGCAGGTGCTCCAACAACCCTACAGATATCACCAATGTCATCCCTTGCAGCGGATCATGCATGAACATCAATGTCACCTCTAGCACAATTCTGCAGGTGAGAGAAGAGTGAGATAGGGACGCCAAGGACCTCACCTGTTTTAATATGCACCTACCTGTATGTCGCGATTTCTAGAATTCAGATGAGTTTACATCTCATTTGAATTCGATTCATTCACTCACCATTTGCATGTATGTGTATTACTATGTACAATACACATACATGCAATTATACACAAAAATAATCTTAAAATAATTATAATAAAAAGTCTGCAAATATTAACTTTAACGACACTTTGTGCAATTTGTTTTCTTTCGCAGGGCTTTTCACAATTTATAAACGTTGCACCTGCCAATGTCCTTAACATTTATGACAAAGAGAACCAGAATTTCACCAGTTTTCATTTTTTTCCATTACATGTTCATATTTCGCCTTATAAAAATTAAATTCAAATAGCTTCATCCAATCAGCAATTTTATGAATGCACTGGTCCATAGTCAGGGGGTTGAAGTTGACGCTCCAAATCTTCCTCCCACGCCCTTTAGGCCATTCCCCTGGGCTCATGCATCCTGATTTAGATGACAAACGTGGGGAATTCCACATAAGGTGACTTCTTAGTCTGCCTCAGTTTAACTCTATTTATATTTGGCATTCAAGGTACCAGTGTACTTTAATGAATACAGATTTTTGAGTGATCACTCTTTTCTTCTGCAGGGTTTCTCACAGCCAATCGTTCTCCAGATGTTCATGCGCACCTGCAATCCCGTGACTAGTCTAGACGACGGCTGCAGGGACCTGTCCAATAACGACGTGCAAAATGTCCAGCAGTTTGTTGGAGCCGGGGTGGCACTTGACAACCAGATACAGGGGCGATACTGTGTTTGCAACACGGATAAATGTAACCAGGATATTAGCACACTCGAAGGGCTGCCAGTCGGTAGGCACATTTGACCGTTAAAATAAAAAAGATTTAAATATAAATGTGTATAAAACACAGTACAAAACACCATTGCAAACATCTTTATTGTATTTGGACCCAGCCCAACAGATCTACTTTTACCCTTAAAATACACGAGACGAAATCAAATAAGGGTTTCATCACTTGTTGCCCGTTTCAGACTTATAGAATGATCTCAAATTTGTGAGGATCCGTGAATGGTGTCTGTCTGTACCTTCTATCAGACTGAAGTCTCTGACAAAATTAATGTGTCTCCTGCGGCTCCTTTTTTCTACCAACTATCCCCATGCACTGTAATATGAATTTATAACCCATTGGTTCACAGGTGAGCCCACCCGCTGCCATACATGTAGATACATGGAGTACACCTCAAGCGACCCCCAGATTCAGCAGAACTTTGATAACACCATGGCACAGACCCCTGGGTTAGACATCCGTTGCCGTGACGACCCAGCCACCGTCCCATACATTCTGTGCAGCGGGTCTTGTATGTCCTCTGAAGGAACGGTCAATATGACCATGGTAAGTCCCATTGGATGTGATTTTGTTTTGTGTTATTAGACATTCCACAGGCATTTAAATACCTTTTCTGTGGTTTGTGAACATGGGAAGATTTTGTCACAATCTAACATTTGAATTTTGGCTTACCATGACGACTTTGCATGTCGTTTGCAATGAACTTTGAACTTCGGGCACAGAAATAATGCGGCCTATATTTGCTAAATGGGCCTAACGTTTGTACCCCCTTACATTAGTTGTCCTTTGTGTCTGTCTGGGAACCAAATTGGAATATTTGTTGTTTGCATATATCCGTAACCTCTCTGAACATAGAAAAATCAATGGAATAATATCAAATTGACAAACATCTACACCATAATGTAGGTCTACATACATGTTACTATATATGTACCAATGGCATTGCACTCACGGTATTCTGGTTTTACAATTGCAGAACAACAACAATTTGAGTATGTATCTTGTCCAGCGACAATGTGCCTCCGTTAGAGCTGAGACCAAGTGCACCATGTTTAATGAAGAAGATAAGCTCGTGGAGCAGCTTCTGCCGGTCAACTCTCTCAAAGCAGCAGGCGTCACCAATATGGAAGTTTCCCTTGGTTACTGCGCTTGCTCGGAAGAGGATTGTAATGGCGGTCACACAGGCGAGCATGAGGAGCCAGAGGAGCCCGAGGAAGTTCGCTCCGCCTCAATTAGAATGACTTCGATAAGTGCGATTGCGCTAGCCACGAAGAGTCTCTTCTTGTTGCTAATTTTTTATTGATGGACGCGATTATGACCAGTTCAGAACTTGTATTTCCAATGCTTTACGACGTACAGAGACTAGAACATGAATTTCATTGTCCATCGTTAACCAGATCATATCATTTTTCCCATGTTGTTTACAGAATATGGATTGCCTTCATTACTGAATACATGTTCAAATCTCTAAACAGTGAACGGAACCAGAAATGACCAGTCTAAAAGAGTCAGTGATCGGTTCCCCTCTTCAAACAGTTGTCAGGCAATTAAGTATCACGACAATAATTTAAGACATACACGAATAGGGATTGTATCAGATATGAACAGAGCCCGAGGAATACGGTCACCTTTCAGTGGCCTTTGAAACACAATCTTTTTATAAAGAAATACAGTGTAAGCACTCTTCCTCTGGAAGTGTTGTGATATTTGAATACTTTTCTAACTTGGCGAGCGCTACGAGGTTTTGACTTATGTTTGATAGTGAATCGTATATCGTAATGTTTCCATATATAAAACCATATATATATTTGTAAAAAATGATAATAAAAAATTACCGAAAATGTTAAGTGTAAGACGCAGGGATGCATCCCGACATGTCCGTGTCGTTTTGACAAGTGATTCTAGAGCAGCAATCATCATTTACCTATGGCTACATGTAGACTCCATTTTATCATTTTATAATCTCATTGTAACACGCATGATGGTAAGTTTTGTCAAAGTAGTTGCAGGTAGATCTTCCCACATTGGCTTATGTATATTCGCATTTGGTTAGCTTCCATGTGAACAGCATTATTTCATCATTTACGAAATAAATCCCAATAAACCTGTCTTTAAAAAAAACACGACTCTCTTTAGTGTTTTAACTTGTTATCTTCTGAGCGACCGTGAAAGGGGAAAAAGGGGAAGGTTTTTGAAAGCTGCTTTCTATAAAAATTGAGGAAGCACCACAAATATATACCATAACCTAACGACTATGTACCTGCACTCTCTGGGCCCCAGACCATATACTGTTGTTTACAAAAAGTCTCAAAAGGAAAAAGGTTTTAAAAAGAAATACCCCTGTATATAAACACACAAAAAAAAAAAAAAAAAAAAAAAAAAATATATATATATATATATATATTCTTTTCTTAACATGTTTCATAATATATATTTAGTAGATTTTCACACTGTGCTCTACAAAAGTAATACATATTGAAAATAACAGCATTGTTCTCGATAGCGCCGTTGAACCCAGTAAGTAATACAGTACGTATAAAGGGAAACAGTATTGTCGGTAATATTGTTCTTAAATCAAGATAAACATACAAGTTAATGATATATGATGCATACAATGTTCCCCATACCCAAAATTTCTGACAAACGAAAAAGATACCTCCATGTACATTTACATACATACTGAATCAGATTGTAAAGAAGCGCCCCATGTTCATGAATGTTAGGTTAAACGTCATATATAAGTCAGCCTTTTTTAATTACATTACTCTGAGGTCAAAACCTTCAGCATAATTGACTGGACCTTTTTGAAAACTGGGCCAAAATTAAGAATGAACAATTTTTTTCATCATAATCCAGCATTAATTTACTTTGCTTGAATTGACCGCATTCTGTCCAAGTTAGGCAAAAGACGACAAATTAGCATACGCTCTTTTAATCTTTTAGGTAAAGTATTGCTATTTAGATTTTAACGGGAAAATTCTTTCCAGTGAACTACCTTATCTGTAAGTCCACAGAAAAGCGTTTAAGAAATCAACAATAGATATTGTTTGGCATGAAACCGATTTGGTTCATGCTGATAATTATCCATCTCGGTTTCTGCCAATCCTTCGACGAAATTCAAGATATGAGAGCGTTTGTCTATTTTTTGGAACTACATGCCCAAATTGTTAAGCTGGAAAACAAGAAAACACAGACAGCAACTTTTATTCTTTTCTGAACGAAATGTACAGTATCACTTCGAGTGGTCCGCAAGGCGTTTACCCGCGGCACGTGAGGGGTCCAACAGTATGATATCCTTGTTCTCCAGCTCCAGTGTCTCCAAATTTAATCATCGATATCGGCAGATAGCCTGACTCCGTGATGTTTCCTTCGTCTGACCGCCAAACGTTGTCATTTTTGTCGCAGTTGCATCCTGCAGAGAAAAACAATATGGTGTTTCTTGCATTACTTTACCTCACACACACACACAAATATATATATATATATATATATATATATATATATATATATATATATATATATATATATATTCAAGATTTAGACCAACCCCAGAAGTGCAAAGGACCCCTTTGTACCGCGTTCTATTGCGTGTGAGAGTGGGAGAGATTAAAATCTTTCAAGCGATAAACTGTAGGCCTATAAACAGACAATGCCTATGGGTTTGTGTGACACATTTTATAAACTATTATGTCCATGTACATGTATAAGAACAATCAAAAATTGCAAACGTTCATTTATAAATAGAGCAAGTAACTTAACATACTATTAGAAGAGACTGAACAGGAGCCATCTTGTGCGCATGCGCAGTTGGTAGAGGTACCGTCTGGATCCCCTCCGCCCCAAAATGGCGCTTTCTGTCCATGCCGATCGTACCAGCCACCGTAGCCATTAATGACAGAATTGTAGCATTCGTACTTTATGTACTGAGTGCATTCTGATCCAATGTAATCTACGTATGCCGCCACTTGATCAACACTCGCTGTAAGTAAGGAAAGATATAAGATATTACCTTGCTGAAATTTAGCATTTGATTTCCATTATTTCTGTTGATACAAAATCAAATTTAAGTTTCCCTAGATCAAAATCTACTTCAGGGAATCAAAATTATATACAAAATTATTTTTCTATTTGATGTATTTGTTCTGAAGTTTTTGAATGTCCCGCGCTATGCAAAATATCAATTCGATCCCTTTGTTCAAAAAGTTTACTGCTCATGTACAAACCTTCATAAATTTTGTACACTTCGCTAGCCAAACTTCCTCCTTCTCCGTCACTGTTACAGCCATCTGAAGATCCGTATTTATCGTAGGTGTCGCCAGCAGTAGCAGCAGAAGCGCACCAGCCGCCATGCTGGACAGCAAAATATGTGTAGCCGCGAGACTTGGCCGCTAGGTAACATTTGTAGATTGGGTTGCTTCTTGTAAGGTAAGAGCCATCCAAATTTGAGTCCACACCTTCCAGCGTGGCAATAGCTCTGGTACTAGTATCTGTCCAGCAACCAATGCTATGGTAGTCTATAAAGGAATTAAAAACTCATGAAAACTCTCCCTTTCGTGCATACTAGGGCAGTGTGCATACTTTGTATAAAATACTTGATATTGCATTTTCATTGCGGAGGGGTTTCTGACCGATGCAGTGGGGGATGATACAAAACCCTATCATCCCCTGACAATTGTGTAAATGCGTCAAACCGAATATACTTGTCTAATTAAGATTTGACTTGTGGTACACACAACTAGGCTGCATTATAATTACTCACGTTTGTACGCCAACGATTTCGAGTACGAATAAGCACCATCAAAGCCGCTGACGTGGGTCCTGTCTTCATAATCATGGTGAAAGGTCACAGTGGGTGGTGTAGTTGACATATCACAATACACCTCGAAAGCGGCCACACCTCCACCGCCATCTGGGTCAACCCAATAGAGGCCGCTAGTGCTGTTAAACTTTTTCCATTCAGTGCAAGACGGTAAGGCTAAATAAAAAAATAACAATACCACATTCAGCTTATAATAGTACATGTTAACATACCGTATACAGTGGCGGATTTAGAGGGGGGGGGGGGTCAGGGGGGTCCTGACCCCCCCCCCCTTCGATTTCTGAAAAAAATCACACCAATGGTCCCCTCTTGAAATTAGAATTTTGACTAGCTGAATAATAGTTTTAAACCTAATGGCACCGTTCGCCCTCTAAAATACCAAAATTTCTAGGGGCCCTTTGCGTATGGAAAAGAAACAATCGGACGGTTTGAAATCTAGCCGTGCATGTGGCCCACAATAACTTTTTGTCGTATTCATGAAAAATAATACTGATACACACAAAACGTATACTGTGAAATCAAATGTGGAAATATTGTGACACCTCGTGAAAGAAAACTAAACGAAACATTATAAAATTTTTATCTGCATAATAATTCCATTGTTATAGATGTCCTGTCTAATCTCACCTTAAACAATGCTTGCCGTTGTCCATATAGCCAATAATCAAGTTGATTTTATAAGAAAAGCAATAAGAATATTAGGATTGAGGGGTTAAAGAAATAAGAATAGGCAGACATTATATCCCATAAAAAAAAAAATTTTGATCAAAAAAAAAAAAAATTATCTCAAGACATTAGTCAATAGCTTAACTACCTGGTTCACACTCTAATGGACCAACAGTGTAATAGGCAGATTCTCCGGCGTCTCCAGTGTCACCAGAGAGGAATTTCTTTATGGGTAGTAAGGACTTGTCAGTAAAATACCCCTCATCTGTTCTCCACACGTGGTCGTTTTTGTTACAGTTGCAATCAGTTCTGCCATCTGTCGAAAAAAAATACAGTTTGGGTTACGTTCTGAGTATGTACATGCATGTACTGAAACTCCTGGAATCAAGAAAAAGCGGTGATCATAATGCTGATACATTCTTTCCAAAACCAAAAGCAGAATGCGAAATATTTATATTTTTGTTTTATTCTTTACTCTGTATGGCGAAAGTCGGATTCATAAACATTACAATACAATAAAATGTTTCAAATATCGGCCAGTTCTAAGAGGGTCACTCATATCTGTCGCCAATTTCTCGATATTTATTTGGCACGATTTCACTGTATTTCTACTTCTACATAAGTCCAAGACATATGCCGCGGAAAACTGAAATATTTAACGACAATGCCCTTACTTTCTTTTTATCAAATTCCCTGCATATATTTTTCGATAAAACAGTCGTAAACATTTAAAAACAATACAAGAGAATGTCTTTATGATAAAAAGGATTACCCTTTCACATTGCTTCCCAGCAAACATAAAGTTATTATAACGTTACCATAACGTTATTATTATCAAAAACGTTATAGTCACGTTATGGTAACGTTATAAAACGTTCTGTGTTTTTCGGGTTGTTAGGAAAAGAAACCCACCGGGGCTCTACATTAAAGAACTGATTCCAAGAAATAGGAACTAGACAACAAGGAATGATTAACTTACCAACACAGGTTCCTGCAATTCCACATGAACATTTATTGACGCTATTACCGCCGGCCCAATAAGCGATTGCCGTGCCACCTATTAGAACGAAAACATACATGCTGAGATGCTGTCATGAAGCAGTAAGCTTTACAAATTCTACTTTGTACTAAATATATATCTACACACACTGGGCAAAAGAAGTGTCACCCCTAATGAACCAATACTTTGGGGGAGATAAATGACTGTGGAATGATATGCTCCTGACATCATTTTATTAACATCAAATTTCACAAAAAGACCAACAATACAAGTTCGTGGTACAGCGGTTTTATACTCATTAGTCACATTAAAAGTAGACCAGCCATTTCATCTTTGATTACTCTGATTCAGGGGGTGACACTTCTATTCTCCAGTGTATGTATTTGCGTCATTTTTTGTCGAGTTCGCCCATTCCTCGTACCTTTATACCCATGGCCTTCTCTCCCCCTCTCTCTCTCTCGCTCGCTCTCTTTCTTTTTCTCTCTCACACAAACACAAACACACACATACACACACACACACACACACACTTTCTCTGTGCTTACTTCTATCCTGTGCCTGGTTGCAGGAACCAACGCCAGACGCTCCGTTACAACGTAACTTGGCATACTGGGAGCAGGTGGCCACGGTGTCTACAAACGGCGCCATCTGGTTGGCAACGTCTATGCCGTAATAGGTCAAGTCTTGGCTCCAGCTTCCACAGGCCTCGTAGCCCTATAGCAAAATATATCACTTTGAAGCAGGACCAACCTAGGACTCAAATTCTAAAAGATTACTGGTATTTAGGTGAGAATCTTGTCTTGAAAGCGTCCTTGTCCAGATCGTAACAATGTTGACTACAGGAATGGGTCTTTTTTTAAACAAAGCAAGTGAAAATAGAAATGGTGAAACATTTACATATCGTATTGTTTCTCTTCCTATTGGGGCAAAATACTTACTGAGATTTGACTGGACTCGGTGTCATCTCTACTGTGGTGTATGATTGTCCTCCCAGGGGGCCATGTAGTCATGTCACACTCCACCATGAAAGGACCAACACCGTAGTTAGCTCCGTCAGGGTCAATTTCAAAATGACCACTGTACCGAAATCCATACTTGTAATATTCGTAGCAGGAGCTCAAAATGGCTGGAAAATCGTAGCATATAATCGTCATAATTTTTGTAATGAATGTATTATATCATACACAAATATAAAATTCTATTACATATTGAAAATCGGGATTCATAAATTAAAGCATTCGTATAAGGGAAAGTATAATGACGGAGTCATCATAAGAATTGAATTACACAGGAGGCTGCATGAGACCTACAGAGGTATTGGATTATTTTGGAGGAAATTACGATAAATGCGTTCACGGGGAGACAACACCTTTTACCGGTACCTTGAGTTTTCCAGGCATTATTTTTTTTATAACATCTTAATATCTCTTGTAAAAATGTTTTAAAAAATAATGATGGATATCAAACTTTTCCATCATATACATGTACTTACATACACATTTGTGGGTTATCCACATGTATTTTGCTGGTCCTGTACACGGATCACCAAATACTCCATTACTTGAACTGACTGTACAGCTAGTACGCTGCTGACACAGGTTCTTGACGGCTTTTATAGAAGCTCTCTGATCTGCCCTGCAACCAATACTCTCCACTCCGTAGAACGCATCCAGAATGTCTATCCAGGTCCCAGTAGGACATGACAGAGAGACGGAACTGCCCTCGTTGATTTGGCTGGTATTAGTATATCCTTAAGTTAAAGTGGATAAAGACGGTGATCAAGTTACGCATCCATTTGAAATAATTCATGATCACAATTGGTCATGAGCTTTATATATATTTAAGGTATATTATAACTTACAATAATTGTGTAGGAACGCAAAGGAGAAAACAGTTTCTTAGTTTTTTAATCATTTTTTTTTCTACAGAGATACGTGTATGAAGCTAAGAAGACAGAAAACCATTGAAGACAAGGGTTTCTCATATTTGCCGGTCAAAACTGCATTACAACTTGAAAAAAAAACTCGTGACAGGCACTGACGCCTTTTCAATCGCTTCACAATGCCTAAGGCATTTTGTAGGTGTGGCGTGGACCATTTAATCGCTGCCACCAGAATGACATTTTACCCTTCAAAATGCGTAGGACCCTCACAAAATATAACAAAAGATCACGTTCAGGTGCCTGTTTCACAAAAAAACCTTAAGCCATTTTCCCTGGCTAAGAACTATATTATCAACGTTACATGGTCACATGGGTATATCTTACCCTATCAGGGAACAATGTTAACGCACTCACATGGAGATCCTAGTCAACTTGCATGTCAGGGAACTGACCTAAGTTTTTTTTTTTTTTTTTTGTGAAATTGGGGCAAGTTGATTCAATCTACTTATGACACCATTCTAAAAGTCTTATAGCTAAAACAATGAATTCACCAAACATGTACATTTCAGTATTTTGTACAAATACTTAGAACAACATAATGGAAGCCCTAAACTAGCTTTACCGCGCTGGAAGTGTACCTTCATCATAGCCATACACCTCGAAGCTCGAGCTCACGTGATTATTCCACTCTAGGGGGTTGAAACGTATGGAGCGCCCTCTGGCGGCGGGTCTCAGGTAATTGTGTCGAGTCGTAGTAGCGTCCCAATTTCCTGGAAATTTCTAAAAGAGTAGACTCAAAATATTAATTTTCAATAATCCTTAAGTAGTAGTGCTTCATCTTAAAGTGTTGGCATACGGAGCCTAAGCACACCTATAACTAAGTCCTATAAGTGTACATTTTTTTCAAATTTAACGGATGTTTATGTTGTTGAATATCTAACCTGCTTTTTGTATACGTAACACATGGTCCGTTCGGTATAAACGATATAGAATGAACGGACACCATCTTACTTTGCATGTTCCATCGGCTTTGGAATAACATTCAAAATTGGAGCCGTCGTCGGAGAAGAGGAGCGTGTACTTTTTCACATACTGTGTGTAGGATGAACGTCCCTGAAATGATATTTTATAGTGTGATAGAAGAATAATGTGCCATGAATAATGAGTCGTATCAAACCCCTAATGACTTTCAGCTCGTTATACTGTACTTTTTTTCATATGAAGCATGTGGAAAATAAAACCTCATACCTACAAGTAACTAATCTGCTTATAATTCAGTTGCCAAAAAAATGGGATCAAGATGCAGAATTGTACACTGTAAAAACAGTGTTTAGCACTTAAACACATTTCTAAGCGCCTGTTTTGTCTCATTTTTTCGACGCGTTTAGCCCCTAAGCACGTTAAGCTCCCTAACATGTTACACGCTTTGGCGGTGGGTGTATTTGCTTAACTTTTAGATGGTAAGGGTTTCAGCTGTTTTAGTCATACGCACGCGCTCGGACACGCACGCACACACACACACACACACACACACACACGAAGTCACGGTCACCCTTAACTGATATTGCTATCTCTATCTATAACAGGGTACAGTGAACTGTCAACATCGTACAGCGGGACTTATTCATCCTTGTGGTAGCTGATCTTGCGAGGAAGTTTATTGGANGCCACTCATATCTGTCGCCAATTTCTCGATATTTATTTGGCACGATTTCACTGTATTTCTACTTCTACATAAGTCCAAGACATATGCCGCGGAAAACTGAAATATTTAACGACAATGCCCGTACTTTCTTTTTATCAAATTCCCTGCATATTTTTTTCGATAAAACAGTCGTAAACATTTAAACACTTAAAAACAATACAAGAGAATGTCTTTATGATAAAAAGGATTACCCTTTCACATTGCTTCCCAGCAAACATAAAGTTATTATAACGTTACCATAACGTTATTATTATCAAAAACGTTATAGTCACGTTATGGTAACGTTATAAAACGCTCTGTGTTTTTCGGGTTGTTAGGAAAACAAACCCACCGGGGCTCTACATTAAAGAACTGATTCCAAGAAATAGGAACTAGACAACAAGGAATGATTAACTTACCAACACAGGTTCCTGCAATTCCACATGAACATTTATTGACGCTATTACCGCCGGCCCAATAAGCGATTGCCGTGCCACCTATTAGAACGAAAACATACATGCTGAGATGCTGTCATGAAGCAAGAAGCTTTACGAATTCTACTTTGTACTAAATATATATCTACACACACTGGGCAAAAGAAGTGTCACCCCTACTGAACCAATACTTTGGGGGAGATAAATGACTGTGGAATGATATGCTCCTGGCATCATTTTATTAACATCAAATTTCACAAAAACACCAACAATACAAGTTCGTGGTACAGCGGTTTTATACTCATTAGTCACATTATAAGTAGACCAGGCATTATAACTTTGATTACTCTGATTCAGGGGGTGACACTTCTATTCTCCAGTGTATGTATTTGCGTCATTTTTTGTCGAGTTCGCCCATTCCTCGTACCTTTATATCCATGGCCTTCTCTCCCCCTCTCTCTCTCTCGCTCGCTCTCTTTCTTTTTCTCTCTCACACAAACACAAACACACACACACACTTTCTCTGTGCTTACTTCTGTCCTGTGCCTGGTTGCAGGAACCAACGCCAGACGCTCCGTTACAACGTAACTTGGCATACTGGGAGCAGGTGGCCACGGTGTCTACAAACGGCGCCATCTGGTTGGCAACGTCTATGCCGTAATAGGTCAAGTCTTGGCTCCAGCTTCCACAGGCCTCGTAGCCCTATAGCAAAATATATCACTTTGAAGCAGGACCAACCCAGGACTCAAATTCTAAAAGATTACTGGTATTTAGGTGAGAATCTTGTCTTGAAAGCGTCCTTGTCCAGATCGTAACAATGTTGACTTCAGGAATGGGTCTTTTTTTAAACAAAGCAAGTGAAAATAGAAATGGTGAAACATTTACATATCGTATTGTTTCTCTTCCTATTGGGGCAAAATACTTACTGAGATTTGACTGGACTCGGTGTCATCTCTACTGTGGTGTATGATTGTCCTCCCAGGGGGCCATGTAGTCATGTCACACTCCACCATGAAAGGACCAACACCGTAGTTAGCTCCGTCAGGGTCAATTTCAAAATGACCACTGTACCGAAATCCATACTTGTAATATTCGTAGCAGGAGCTCAAAATGGCTGGAAAATCGTAGCATATAATCGTCATAATTTTTGTAATGAATGTATTATATCATACACAAATATAAAATTCTATAACATATTGAAAATCGGGATTCATAAATTAAAGCATTCGTATAAAGGAAAGTATAATGACGGAGTCATCATAAGAATTGAATTACACAGGAGGCTGCATGAGACCTACAGAGGTATTGGATTATTTTGGAGGAAATTACGATAAATGCGTTCACGGGGAGACAACACCTTTTACCGGTACCTTGAGTTTTCCAGGCATTATTTTTTTTATAACATCTTGATATCTCTTGTAAAAATGTTTTAAAAAATAAGGATGGATATCAAACTTTCCCATCATATACATGTACTTACATACACATTTGTGGGTTATCCACATGTATTTTGCTGGTCCTGCACACGGATCACCAAATACTCCAGTACTTGAACTGACTGTACAGCTAGTACGCTGCTGACACAGGTTCTTGGCGGCTTTTATAGAAGCTCTCTGATCTGCCCTGCAACCAATACTCTCCACTCCGTAGAACGCATCCAGAATGTCTATCCAGGTCCCAGTAGGACATGACAGAGAGACGGAACTGCCCTCGTTTATTTGGCTGGTATTAGTATATCCTTAAGTTAAAGTGGATAAAGACGGTGATCAAGTTACGCATCCATTTGAAATAATTCATCATCACAATTGGTCTTGAGCTTTATATATATTTAAGGTATATTATAACTTACAATAATTGTGTAGGAACGCAAAGGAGAAAACAGTTTCTTAGTTTTTTAATCATTTTTTTTTCTACAGAGATACGTGTATGAAGCTAAGAAGACAGAAAACCATTGAAGACAAGGGTTTCTCATATTTGCCGGTCAAAACTGCATTACAACTTGAAAAAAAACTCGTGACAGGCACTGAAGCCTTTTCAATCGCTTCACAATGCCTAAGGCATTTTGTAGGTGTGGCGTGGACCATTTAATCGCTGCCACCAGAATGACATTTTACCCTTCAAAATGCGTAGGACCCTCACAAAATATAACAAAAGATCACGTTCAGGTGCCTGTTTCACAAAAAAACCTTAAGCCATTTTCCCTGGCTAAGAACTATATTATCAACGTTACATGGTCACATGGGTATATCTTACCCTATCAGGGAACAATGTTAACGCACTCACATGGAGATCCTAGTCAACTTGCATGTCAGGGAACTGACCTAAGTTTTTTTTTTTTTTGTGAAATTGGGGCAAGTTGATTCAATCTACTTATGACACCATTCTAAAAGTCTTACAGCTAAAACAATGCATTCACCAAACATGTACATTTATTTTGTACCAGTACTTAGAACAATATAATGAAAGCCCTAAACTAGCTTTACCGCGCTGGAACTATACCTTCATCATAGCCATACACCTCGAAGCTCGAGCTCACGTGACTATTCCACTCTAGGGGGTTGAAACGTATGGAGCGCCCTCTGGCGGCGGGTCTCAGGTAATTGTGTCGAGTCGTAGTAGCATCCCAATTTCCTGGAAATTTCTAAAATAATATACACAAACTATTAATTTCCAATAATCCTTAAGAAGTAGTGCTTCTTCTTAAACTGTTAGCATACGGAGCCTAAGCACACCCTAACTATAACTAAGCCCTATAAGTGTACATTTATTTCAAATTTAACGGATGTTTGTGTTGTTGAATATCTAACATGCTTTTAGTATACGCAACACAAAGTTGGTTCGGTATAAGCGCTATAGAGAGAACGGGCGCCATCTTACCTTGCATGTTCCATCGGCTTTGGAATAACATTCAAAATTGGAGCCGTCGTCGGAGAAGAGGAGCGTGTACTTCTTCACGAACTGTGTGTGGGATGAACGTCCCTGAAATGATATTTTATAGTGTGACAGAAGAATCATGTGTCATGAATAAAACTCGTACTGACTTTCAGCTCGTTATAGACTGTACCTTTAATTTCTCTTATGAAGTATGTGGAAAATACCGTCAAACCTAATACCTACAAGTACCTAATCTGTTTATAATTCAATTGCCAAAATGGGATCAAGATGCAGAATTGTACAAATAAGTTATTTGGTGAAGAAGAGAAACTTTTGCTAATATATTGCTGTGGGGTTATTATGTGAACACAACATACCACTGTTGCTACTTTTGTAATGGTCATATTCCTTCCAAAATCAATTTGGTACCACTGGGTGGCGCTGTTGCCGCCGGCACACCAAGTGGGGCTGCTTCCCACCCTGCCGCCATTAAGAGCGCAAGTGCTGTGTGTTGAAGATGCGGAGAGAGAAGAAGTGGGTATGTGGTTACTCTGCATCCCTAGAGGTCGCTCGCGTCCTGGCACAGAAAAAAAAATATAAAGACAATCTGCAAAATAGTTGCGTGTCGTTTTTGCAGGGAAAAATAGATCAAAGATAAGCAAAAGGAATTTATAACAATTTGTGGACAATCTCTATCACAGTTCAATTCACCAGTATTTTCCTTCTCGTAAAAAAAGAAACCGTTTCACTTCTCAGTACTAGGATGGGGTGTTATGAATGATACATAGTCAGATAACAATATATTATTTCGTCATCCATTATACTGATTTCAGGAGGCATAAGCCAAACAACCCATATACTATCTCTCTTTTATTTTTCAGCGTCAGTATGATACACAGAATATGCTACTTGTGCCATTTACTGCATCTATTCTCCTAACTACAATGTTCGCACTGCATTTAAATTAAAATCTTTACGTGTGTTTCTATGTGATATATTAGCTTTAAAATAAACCTCACCTTCCACCCAGGAGGTACAAACCAATGGACCCAGTGTTTCAAAACCCATTTCATCACCGCCATCAATATCGTTAATTCTGGTCTGCACAATGGGAAGAATATTCTTTTCCTGAAGGTACCCGGAATCCTTCCTCCATACGGCATCGTTCTGTGTACAGCTGCAATCACCTGATATATATATATAAAAATAATGATCAAAGTTTGTTTTTTTAAGAGTTTGGTCATTTTGCTGATGGTGTCATATCAGTGGTTTTGCATGGGGTCCACAGTGCCACTTCGGTTACTCGGAATTCTCCATTACCTGGGCTTGTATCAAGAAAAAAAATCTATCGGGAAATAAGAGTTTTAAACTGGAACAATATAACAGTGCGACTATTTTTATTGCTACAGTTGATTTTATCACTTGTAGCTATTTACACCAATTTTCAAGGGGCATTTATTAACAAAACAGCCCAACATCGGTTTAAAAGAGGTCATCAAATATGTGGCAGGGGAACATGTTGTCCAATCTTTTGGCAAAAAACAACCAATTTTGGTGATTTTTTCTGCAGCGAATATGGAGTTACTTTTCGAATCAATTGCTGTAACATCCAATTAAGATTATTGAGTAATGGTCGAAAATAAGCTTCCAGGTACTTCTACAACTAAAAAGGACACCTTATAACAATGACTAGCCCACCTATTAATATTATCAATATATTGTTTACATAGTCCCTTCGTATATGCAAGATGCGATAGACTGATATATACGAAAGAACAACAGGACATATAGCTTTAAAAATTCTCCTTCTTAATCTACTCTTACTTCTTCCGTTTTCACATGCGGAATATTTCCCACACAGACACCTGGAGACAGGGGATCCTCCAGGGAAGTAAGCGCCCCAATAACTGTATACCCCAGTACGATCAGTATGTTCAGTGCCTGACCCTGGATCTACAACAGAAATTATATTTATCGTCATCATGCGTCATGTCAAGACATCAAAGAAAACGTGCAAATTTAAATTCATATTTATCGTAGAAATAATTGAAAACATTGAACACGATTTATAAATTTTATGACACCATTATTGATACGCACATTATTAAAATATTCCAAGCCAAATAACAATAAAGAAATGGTTTCTATCGTACTTACTTCCTAGCCCGTGACACTCTATTTGTCTGTATTGGTGACAGTGACCAGACATATTCAATAAGGCAGTCATCTGGTATATAGAAGCAGTAGGATACGTCAGATCTCTGTAAGTATAGCCCGCCTGACCAGGCCCAAGTTGACTGCTTCGACCTTCTATATCATGGTGGACAATGGTCAATGGGGGGTCAAAGGTCATGTCACATTCCACCTGAAACTGGATCATTCCCCCAGGGCCCTCTGCTTGGATGGTGTAGTACCCGCTGCTCAAACCATCTTGCTTCAGTTTGTCGCAAGTGAAGGGTCCTGTAAAATTCTCAATTAATGAGCATTTGAATTATACTGATGACAGTGTATGCTTATGGGATAAAAGGCTGACTATATTCCATTCATCTCTTTCTAATTAACAAATTGAAAGCTTCATATGCAATTAATTTATCTTTAAGGTGTAGCATATTAAATGAAATAAGAGAATATATACTAATGGAAGTTCTTAACACAAGAAGCAAAGTTTGTCCTACCTCTGGAATAAGTGGTGGCTGTCGTCGATATGTTCCTGCTCCGGACACCTACAGGTCTGTTAGTTTCGGTAGTCAGTCGTACGGTATAGCTCGCCCCTTCTCGTAACCCAGTGATGAGGTTAGTCGTGGTCTGAAGGTACCCAGGGTCCTCCAGGCGCAGTACAGTTGCATTGGTGACGTCAGCAGCACTCAGGGGCGTTACCTCTAAAGTGAAGGTTTGAGTTAACCCGCCATTGAAGCCGGACATCCACGTGATTTCTAGGGAATTGGTTTGGCTTTCGTTCACGTAGACAAAACTTGGATATTGTGGAGGTCCTAGAACAAAAAGGAACTTTTAAAACACTGTCAAGCTCAATGGGGATGTTTCCGGAGTTTTTTAAGCCAAGAAGGCCCCCTTCTTCTTCACTAGAAAGTTGTAAGCTATCCACGCCCGTACCACTCATGGAAAACATTTGTTTAACAAAATCATTTCTTTGTCTAAAGCGTTTTAGTAAGTAAATGCAATTACCCGACTTATCTTTTACAATTAACTGACCTGCAATCGAAAAAGGGTCTCCTTGAAATGAAAGCAGCATTGCTTGGCCGGAATGAAAGGCACTAAAGACTGCCGTATAATCGAATTTTTTATTTATCGATTTCCAATCGTACAGAGCACTTTGTAAAAATAATAGTATGATTAAGTTAACCTTCTTGAGAGTGATACTTACATCGGTAGAAAAAATCGATGGCATAATTACACAAATAACCCATGGTATATTTTTGTTAAGTTCGTACTCCCGATTCCCTCTAACTATTTAAATTGCTCTTAAGCATGTTAATATTGATCTAACATCAAGCGTTACAGGATTATCAAATTGCTTAAAAATTGCTTTTAATGGCTACATGTAATATCACATGCAGTTAGAGGCTTGTATGTATAACCCAAACAATCCTCAATCAACAGAGGGTTTGTTTCCGACCCTTTGTAAAGAGCTGTTAAGTAGTCATTAAAGATATCATACCTAAATAGGAAATACAAAAATTTTCTTACTCAAGAATCATTGTTCGACCCATCCGTAAACTGGAGCTCGATATTTTGTACCATTTCTAATTAGGTACTATAGTAATGTGTAACTATCCAGTAATGTAGACAGCCATAAGTAATTTTGCAGAAGGATATGTAAACACCAGGAACTTTAAGTTGAGGGCGGGCATTTTTTAAACATTAAGTATTTCAATGTCTGAATTCAGAATGTTAAGTGCTCCGTAGCTTTTCAGACAGGGAAGACAAAAGTAGATTTTAGACTTTTTAGTTGGAGACAAAAGAGGGCATGTTGAATGGGCGAATGACAAATCAGAACGTAAAATTGTGGTAATCACGCAAAGCTAATGTTACGAAAACCAAGCAAATGCGTGATCGATATGAAAAAGACAGACTAAACATTCACTTAGACTTTTTAAAAAATTAGTTGGGGAAAATGTTTGACACCGCTGACGTTACAATGTATGTTTCTACGTATACATCTGTACATGAGGCTGACGCATAGGTACAGTAGCCTCCCTTTGTTAGTACTAAAGGTTCAGCTACGTATAACCCGGTTAGAGTTTGTGTAAAACTAACCATGTTGTAGCGCAGTTGGTAGTAATCGATTATTATTCTAGTGCTCACCTGAGTGATGTGCAAACAATTGAACATGCCATGGTGAGCATTTTGACATATAAATTGTAAGAATCACTGAAATGCATGGACCCTTTTGACAACTAGGTAAATAAAGGACTACTCCGCTTTTGAAACTGTCCCAAGCTGATGGTTTCATTATCTGCGTATCCGGCAAATGCTATTTATCTTTCTCTATTCAGAGCAAAAAAACGAGGAAACGCCTCCAATGAAACTTCCTGATGTCGATATTTCTGCCGAAACTTACTGGAAGACATAATGGTCTCAACCTTTACAAAATAGTAAGAACTCATTTATCAAAAATGATGTAAAATCCAATAGCAGGAGTCGAGCAATGATTTGTAATAAGAGCATTTTTTTCATGTGATAATCTATTTGGTGGGAAAATCCTGGATGGGATACCTTTAGATCGACAATAATTTGAATAGATTTTTCAGTATACGCACATGCTGTTAGGCAAGTGATCTTTAACGAGCACACCCTAATGCTAATTGTGTGTGAATTTGGTGACATTTGATGGCGTCTTTTCAATTTAATTGACATTTCTTTAATACATCTGTAGATGTCACAGTGAAACAGTGGATTTGAGGGGGTACATCTAATAAAATTTACTAAATGGTATAACATGTGTATATTTTCACCACTATTTTGTATTTTTTTAACCATTAATCATGTTAGACACGGTATATGTAATAAAAAGCACTATTTCTAACAATTTACAACTGTGAGGTGATCATTTGTAAATAAAAGTACATGGAAATGGGGGTGGGACAACCTTTTTGACCAATGTTGTATATTCCAGTCATGGGCCTGAACTTAAGTAAACTGTATGATACAGTAAAATTGGCATTGGACTCTACCAAGACTTTACACTGGATCATTATTAGTATTATTACTATTATTTAGTTTTCTTTCTGCGTTGTTTATTACATCCTAAAGAACCGGGTCTAAACAATGGTCCTAAGGCGCTGGAGGTTAGTTGTTCCTTTCTACTTCATTGATAGCACCCTCCGTAGTATGTGTGTTGTTCCGAGGAGGACTATTATTATTATTATTATTATTATTATTATTATTATTATTATTATTACCAAACTTGCAACCCGAGGGTTGGATAATTACAATCATTGCATCATAGTTTAATAAAACCATTAGTAAGTAGGAATAAAGGAATATTAAAAGACATATGTAAACAAATTTAAAACATAACTAAAATGCATGCAAGGTTAAAAACAAGAAATCAAAGTCTATATGTTAATTCTGAAACTTGTATATGGCACTGTTAAAAAGTCACTTTTATATTTCCCCAACACTATAAAAGCCTTTTTCCCATGGTCATGCATGTTAAAAAAACCACCGTAATTAAGTGGAAGACCGTACACAAGCGGAGACGCACCGATGTATCTGCTAAGACCGTCCAAACAAAGTAAAAGATTCATCAAGTCGCACGTACATGTAAGAGACAGATAAAAATCAGCTCACCTAAGTCTGCATCCAGGTGTTCCCAGTCTTCATCCGCTACAGACACTGTCCCAGCGTCATCGTATTTTGTTCTATCATTAATCTCACACGTTTTACTACTGCTATGGTAGTTGACAGATGTACAGCTCGCTATGCCGAGATGAAGACAGAGAACGGTGCAATGCGCTTTGTCGCGCACGCTGTACGTCGTTGGTTGTGCGCCACTGAAAACTCCATTTGTAAGTCTTGAGCCGTTGGAACTTTTGAAATATCCCCAGGTATATGAATGTCCTCTACATAAAAGAATGGACAGCAAACAAAGCAGAACTACGGATGTTTTTATCCGAGGTCCCATTGCGTAGCTTATAAACATATATCAGTAAGGAAAATTAGAATAAAATATCTGTATCCCTTGCTGTCATTCACGGCTCTCTTTCACAACCCCCAGTGGCGATGTCGAAGTATCGGACTAGTTTGGGCACAAAAAGAACATTGATTAAGCAGCTCTGCCAAAATACATGTATAAAAAGTGGATCACGTTATTGGTCGTGTGGGCCAATTTCATCGGAAAACGAATATCCAATAACACCAGGAGTAAACATTTTCTCAACTTTTGTTATGCATTGTATTGCCGGAGACGCAACTGCATTGTTATGATTATATCCCGTTATGATGATATTGACTGGTATACGGCAAATTTATCTCAAAAGTCGATAAGCTATTAGAAGGTAATTTAACGAAAAAAGGAAACCTTAGGAGGTCACAGGATCGAACTGGTTTGCCTTTTATCCAGATTAAATATATACATCCTACTTTATTGGTCTACCAATGTTAAACTTTGAAGTGGGACTGATAGTGAACTGGTAAATTGACAAAGAGTCACGGCTAAAAATCAACTCAACCCATTTGTTGTCATAGCAACAGCTGACACTTATACTCACTTGTTCAAGCAGCCACAATGTTGAATGAAGGTCCTTCAGTCGGATTTGGGTGACTGGGAGAAAGTGTGCCTCCAGGTCAATGGCAACCAAGCTATATGTAAAAAGCTTGGACCTTTAATAATAAATGCACCATGCATCAAAATCGTTAAAGGTGGACAGTGTCCTCATCGAAATTACCTAGGTGATACGTATGAATATTTGATTTTAATAAAGCTGTATGAGTACATTGGTATTGATTAAGGCTATTTATGTGCCATTCTATGTTTTAAATATAGCAATTGTTCTCAGTTAAGTTCAAAAAGAAGCAATCCATGCACTAAGAAAGCGTTTCAGATCCTATCTTTTATCCCTTTAATACAGACGGCTGTTGTGTATCGCAAGATTCTAAGCGCTTTCTTTGTTAATATAAGTCGTTGCTGCTAGTGCTGCCTTTTTCAACGGCATTCTTTGTACATCTTTTAAATAATCGCACGTCTGTAAACGATGAGCGTTAATTCCAATAATGGGTTATCATTCAAAGTTTGGCTTGAGCTGGTTAACAGATTTAATTTTATTGTTATTGATGTCATTATAATTCTGGACGTCCCTTAGGGATTTTAATTGACCCAATTATTTAAAAAGATGGCACATCAGCATAATGAAGAGTACAATTTGGGTGCGTTAAATGTAACCTTATGTCGGGACATCAATATGCAAAAACCACTTTTAGTGATAGCCATCTTGGTTTTCAGGATATTCGTCTGAAAAGAAGGGTGGTAACTTTAAAAGTCGTGGTAGGTAGAATGTAGAGATTTTATATGACAACAATAGACCCAAACACTCCCCATTTTCCACGTCATATGCCGCTAAATGATTATTTTAAAATTTAAATATTATGAAATTTATACGTCAAAACAGCAAAGAAGCAATTATGGATAGTTTAGAGCGTGAGATAATTAATGGCGAATGCAAATCCCTTAAGGTGAAGATGTTCCATTTTCGGCCAAGGACAAATACATGCAGCCCGGGAGCCACCAGACGGTTATTTAGGAAAATATTAGATTTGGCCTCGTTTTCAAAAAAGGAGCTGTAGGCTCTAAGAAAAAACATATGTTATGAATAACAAATTTTAACTATACACATGTTTGCCCTTTTATCAGGGGACAAATGTATGATATCAATATGGGGAAAACTTGTTACTCAAAAATGAGTTTTATTACATTTTTTACCTTCATTGGTTGATGATTTTCAATGGATAAACACTGTGAGTCATAAAATGCCACTATTACATTATGTATGAGTGTTTTCACTTTATGATAGCCATATCATAGGCAAATTTTCATTATAAGGAACAGTTTATACAGCATTTTATACATTAACCAGAAGGAGCACCACGACTTTAGACGTTTCCTCTAGAGGGGGATGTGCTAGTTGTGATTTTTAGTCCAGTGTGTTATTTTTCTCATTCCGCTCTGCTGAATACCTAAATAAGATGCATATGGACAGCACGCTGTGAGAAACCTACATAATTTTTTCCACGTGGATTGCTATAAACAATACAAATATGAACCTTCACTTCGACCGTGTCGTTTTGAATTAACTTTGACTTCACACGAATATATGTATCCAAATGCAGTTTTGGGAGGCGTGGGGACAAGAATAGCACATTTAATTATCATAATTATATAAATATCCTCCACCACAAAATGCTGCACAGAGGTAATGCTATGCAGCATTTTTATTTGCGGTTTCATTAAATCATCTGTGAATATTTTTTTCTTTAGGGACGATATAACTCTGCATATTATTAGTGGAAAGCCGGCTAATGTACATTGATGTCAAGTTCTCATGTATATAGGGATCCAATGCTAATGTAATCAGCACCTTTGCAGGTCGGTCTATAATGGAGAAAGTAATGTGGTTTTGGTGAAGTGTCCTAAAACGTAGTGTGTATTATGTGTGCAATGCGGTAGTTATTACCAGGAAGCTATAGGCCATTTCTTAACATTACGCGTACCTCTATATCACTGACTGAGACCTAACTTTAATTTAGAAGAGGAGGGCTCTGCAGCATTTTACATGGATAGTCATCTGCTCTACCAGTTTGCGTTTGTGGTTCTTGTTACATCGACTGCATGGTCCACAGGTGAGATAAAAAATGTTAATCCACTAGATACAATGTGGATCTTTTTACTCCACGTAGAGTGATTCTGCAGCAAGTTCTAAGCGGATGTTCATCGTTACATGTATATATGTACTTTGTTAACGCTCCTTACTCCTCCATCTATGTTGACCCTGAGTAAGGTGACATGAGGGGAAAAGAGAATGTAACATTTAGGTTTTGAATGTTTGTGGTTTGATATTAGGAACACACTAAAATAAGCTACATGTGGCTCGTTCTTAGGTATATATGTACTTGTTCTATGTTGAATCGGGAGAACTTTTAATCGAGCTTCTGCAGTGGTGTTCAAATGAATGTTTTAGTTTTCTTGATAATGTAAAATAATTTTTTATAAAATTTAAGTTAAATGATTAAGGTCAAATAAGGATTAATAACGTGCATCTTGGCTAATTATACAAATACATGTATATTTCGTTTGCATTTAAATGTAAGTTCATGTAGTTCATCATATTTTTTTCTCTGCTGTCCCAATAAAATTGTAATTATTTGATGTAACTTGATCAATAAAGTAAGACAGTAAGCTATAGCTAGTAATCCATTTTTAATAATTCTCGTAAAAATAATAAATGATAGTATTGAAACAGAAGAGTGGCTAATATGTATAATCAAGTGCCCGTGACGGTATAATTATACTTAAGGCAATGTGCAAAGAGTGTGATGTCAGACAGTTACCGCATGCCATAGCAACTGAAAAACATATTTCGAACAACAGTGCATGTTTTTGAGGTCATAATAACATGATTCCTCATGCTGTTGGAGAACCATATATTTGGTGTCTAAATATTAAGGGTTTTTTTTTCAGTCGAGACTTTGGAATGTATCTCTTGCATTGCTTACCAAATAACCGGCAAGGACATGGGGACGAAGGACCGGTTAGACAAACAGTTTGCGGCTTGGTATGACTCCGATTGTGCCAGAAACCCGACCGAGGTAGCCAGAACCGTGTCATGCGATGGCTCGTGTATACAGAGTACGTTTACGGCGAGGATTGCCCGGCAGGTACATGTAAATGCAGTGGCGGGATGGGGGGGGGGTCCTTCCCCCCCTTTGGTTATCGAATTGGAAAAAAATTAAATTTAGTATTTTGACTAGCTGAATCAAAATCTTAATCCGCACCAAAAAGCACCGTTTGCCCTCCAGCATCAACATTTTTCGGGGGTGGGGGTGGGGGCTTGTGCGGGTCCTAACCCCACGCCATGGGGGAGAGGGTCGGCTTTGCATCCGAGGCCTTTCATTCCTAAAACTAAAAAAAATACCCGCACCCCCTTCGAATAATCCTAGATCCGTATTGTATGTATGAAATGTAAGTTTGCATGAGCCTGGTGAGTGCGTTAACTTTAGCGGGCACTCTCTACGCAGTGTAATTGTGAATTCTTTTTTGTTTTTGGTGTACCGGTAAAATGTAAATGAACTCAAGTGAGATTGTGATGAAATTTCTAATTGTCTTTGTGGGACGCAGACTTGAGATCTATCAGACCAAACAGTCAGCCGAACAGTAAGTAACCTCACGGATACAAAAGACTACTGCAGTAGCAGTTAATTTAGCATCTCAAGTGGAAAACGCTGCAGGATTCTGCATTCCAACAGCTGGTGTGCTTAATGGAGCTGTATCCCCTGCCCTGCCTGTTACTCGTGTACATTTTTTGATATACAGCTGTTGTTTTTCAAAGCGTGCAGTATATAAGATAAAATGTTTCTCTCCCTCAGTAAGCTTGCATTATATGTATTCATTGAACTAAGAACATTTAGCTTACAGCAGGTTTCACAGGCTGCAACCAAGCCAAGTATTGCATTGCAACAAAACTGGCAATTACCTTACTATGCGGTAAATGAATGTGCTAGGTGAGATTTTTTGTTGTTCTGTTCGTTTTTCAAATCTATATCCTCTGATGATTGTGAAATACTAGAAATGCAGAGTATAATTGTATCGTTTCCACTGTTATTGCTTTTTTCAGTCTTTGAACAATGTTAATGAGGTTACGGCTATTTTCTTCGTTCTCCTAGGACCAAATGAATTCGCTCCAGAAGTCTGAACCAATGGAAGTACACTTTTTTCTGCGAACCTGCAATCCTATAAAAAGCGCCAGATCGGGATGCAAGCAGCTGTCTGCAAACGCATTGCCAAGTGTCCTACAGTATCTTAATGTTCTCTTTATGATTGGTTTAGAGGGCACAGCACGCACTGGTAAAGTTTGTTACTGCAACTCTGATAGGTGCAATGAAGACACGACAGTATTGGACACGTTAGAGAGAGGTAAACTACGGTCTAGATTGTGTTCGGTAATATATTACTCATATATTTTTTACATTAAGATGGCTTATCGTGTATCTTGTAGAGGAGTCCTTCAACATGATTTTTGAAATACAAAGCAGCCTACAAATAATTGTTAAAGAATTCCTTTTATTATATATATATATTAGTAAGAGACTAGGCAATATGTTTGTAAATAAGGAAAACGGGGAAAATTAAGAGTAACGTGTGAATAATTAACTCTTCCAGGAAAGCTCCGCTTATGCCATGACTGTTTATGGATGAAATATTCATCCGATGACACCGTTTTGGAGAGAGACTTGCAGGCAAAGTTTGGTTCGAGAAACGCTACGAGACACGACGAGAATTGCAGGGTAGTAACGCACGCGACGCCGTCCTCCATGTGTAACGGCGCGTGTGAGACCACGGAAATCAGAGTACAGTTAACAACAGTAAGAACCCGTTATCTGATGTGCTTATTCATTCCTTTTTATTCTTTTCCTTGGATTTTTATTATCATTCCTTATATATATTTTTCATTAATTTACTTATTTAGCTAGTTACATGAGATATATTTTGATAAAAAAATATGAGAAACCATTTTGTCAGTTTTTATGCATATAAAGGATATTTGTTCTCTGCAATCCAATCACACCCATAATAATTCATAATTTAATGGGCACGTCGCAGCAGAGGACCGACCGTAACAACATTTTACGCATTTTTTGTTACTGTTTCTTGTATTTCATACAACTTCTTTTCATTCCATAGTCTATTTATTAACTAATTATTTAAATTTTGATTGATGAAATTGGTTTTAATTATTAGGAAACCGTCTTATTTAGTGTACCTTTGTTTAAGCCGAGTATATCAGTAGTAAAAGTAGGCCTATAGCTGGTCCTGTTTTATGCAATTCAAGGTCATTCAAATGCCTCATTAGTGGACCAGTTAAGTAATGTGGATTCACATTTCATCATAGAATCACATCCTTTCCAACTTCCATCCCTTTTAACAATATTTTCATGTTGCAGAAAGCACGACATTTAGGAGGAACCAAAAACGCGGACCTATACTTGGTGAACCGATATTGCACCGGCATCAAAACAACGCCGTCTTCTCACTGCCAAGATATTTCTGGCAGCGAGCCAGTCGTCAAACAATTATTGCCAGTTGAGAAGATGGAAAACAGTGATCTCACTTTTACTGGAGCCGTGGCTAGTATTTGTACCTGCGACAGCCACAGTTGCAATGACGTTAGCCGGGTGTCATTGACATCGGCGGTCAGCAGTTGCTCTTTTTATCCACGGGTGGTTATGATGTTGACTGTGCTTGTCGTTTTAACAAATTTTTATTGGTAGCGAAGTACAAAGGCCTACGCGGCACCTGCTGTACATGTTCTGTTATTCTTTATAAAGTTTGGAAGCATTCTGTCAAACTGAAAAGATTTCTTTCTTGTATTTCACTTTTCAAATTGCAAGTACATTTATGTATTTTTATCAGTTTTTATTTTTTCTATGTGTGCTGTACTGCTGTATTAACGGTAATGTAGATCTCCTGTACAGGGTACAAATTGTGTATTGTCGTAAGTCTATTGGAACATATGTCATATATTGATGTCTACACATTGATCTACGGATAAATAACTTCATAATAAATAGATTAACAAACAAACAAAAACACAAATGTACGAATGATGAAAATCCATCCATGACCGTTGCAAACCTATACTGATACTGTATTTAGAGGAACCAGGTCCAGTATGACCCTACCCCGATATTCAGTTGTCACTGGAAACTCGCCCGAATAAGACTTAATTGCAATGTGAATTAGCAAGGGAAGTTTGGCGTAGTCAAACGAGATTTTATGGCGACAACAATCTCCAGAGCTTATTTACGCACATGCGCATTCTGCATATTTTTGGATATTGTCATTGTTTTTATACTGATAGGACTAATAAAGAGGTGGGACCCCTAAAGTTTCACAATCTGGCCCTTTTCCTCTAGTCCACTGAACAGGCTAAATGGTCAGTCCAGTCAGTGTGCTTATTCCAAGGTAATCTAACTAGAAAATAACTGCGCGCCCTCGCCTGTGCTTCTCTCCTTCAGTCATTTGATGGTCCATAAACAGCCCAGAAATGCCAGCGTTCTCTCCATATTTCTAATCGTACTTGCTCCCGCTACTTGGTGTCATATTACGCGTGCTTCACCCGAGTTAAACTGTTTTTTGATTCCGTATAGCTTAGCGGAGGTCTTTACAGTAGCTTGGTGGAAGTGAAGAAGGAGTGAAAGCAAGGGCTAGACGCGCTGCACCGAGATTTGTTTTGTATTAGCAATATTCAAGCAGGTTTGAGCATCGGATTATTTGTACGGAGATTTGCAACAGAAAAATGAAGATTTTCATCATCCTGTCTCTAGTCTTGCTTGAATCGCAAGGAAGTAAGTGTGTTTTGACAGCCTTTATTTTGAGACGCGGTTGAATGAAATTTTAGAATTGTTGAAGCTGTGTTTTTTATTGAAAAGGGTTTTCAAAAACTATTCCCGCAGATGGTTATTGAAAATATTCATATGTGTTTTAACTTTAACAAATTAAAACATAATGCTCATAGCATTTAACAGAAGAAGGAGCGCTATGCCTGAGAGTGAAAAATCGAAGGTGAGTTGTACTATTAAAACTAGGTACATGTTGGTCCCGCTTGATAATTTTTCTTAAAATTCTGCATTGATTACTTAAGAATAAGATCGTCGTCTGAGCTGTTAGTTGTTATGCATGTTCAGTCCGTTGGCGTATCTTGCATTAGACAGTTACTGGGTTAGCTTCCAACGTAATTTACTTCAAAAGTGGAAGTAATCGTTCTACCTTATTATCAATCACTGCAAAGGTGTTTATGAATCGGGAAATCTTATGAAATTCATTTAAATCTAGTTCTCTATCCCTTTTCTCTTCTATCCTCTCTCTGCCTTGTGTCACTTCCGTTTAGTTCATTTCTCCAAATCCCCTTTCAGAAACGTTTTCGAGACCTATTTATTTAAATTTCTGTAATCCTGAATGGCATTAATTACCACCTCGAGCTCTTATGTGTGGAATATCGAATTGTCGAGATACAACTAATGAAGTCATTCCCATAAAATTCTAATAATACCGCTCTGATTAAAAAGAGTCCTGTCCTTTTGCAATTAATTGGTCGCGTTGGATAGATACCTAATTACTTTAAGCATTTGACTGATGAGTATTATAATCTGGTATGCCATTGATAAAGTACCAAAGATCTAAACGGCGCCAAAAACCTGTTTAAAGTTGGTCAAAAAGCAAACGGTTGTTGAAAAACTTTAAACACATTGCATTGTGTACTATTCTCACATTTTGGCATTACAATAGTGCCTCGCGTACTGACCCTTCCTTCGTATTGCAGGCATTTATGGATATAAATCATTGTAAAATGTGGCTGTAGCTTCGTATGAATACGAGCGTAACGCTCTGCAAAATCGAAAACAAGTGCAGTTTATGGACATGAGAATGTGTTTTCCCCATTAAACGTATACTAAAAACCGCTTTATTCCCAAAGTCATGTTAATACACGTATATCTAAAAATCCCGTTAAAGCTAGATACCTATCTTTCCCGATATAGACCTTAAAGGTTGGACTGCAGGTTGGAGATTTTATTTTAAATTAAAGGTGCTAGCTTCTTTATTCCTGTTGCATTCATTTAATGGATCTTCAAAACATCTAATTATGCTTGAAACACAGCTACCTTTTCTTCCCGAGACGTAATATTGGAATTTTTCGGGCAAAAACATCATTTTCGGTTTCATGATTTTCTCAGGCACCTGGATAGCTATAAACATGCTTTTAATGGCATTAAAACAAGTGAACAAAATACTACAAAAGGGGCTTGGGGATTTTTCTGTGAAGACTCACTGTTGATTTTATCTATAAAAACGTGATTTTCAGCCCTATTTAAGTACAATCCCACCTTAAAATAAAACTCGTTATGAGTGCCCGATGTCGATATATTTATTTCTGGTATTAAGACAATGCAGATCTTAATGTTTGGCCATGTATTCAGAACTAAGATATCTAATATTGGTATGAATATCGAGTCCTGGTGCAGGGACGGGTCGATCAATGGTTCGTAGGCTAAAATGCCTTTTTCTTGAGGAAAGTTAGAATTACCTCGAAAACCCAGACAACATGCATGCCCCTTTTACCATGACTGATCTTAAGACCGCAAGATTGCTAAAAACCTGCCTGCATAGATTGAAGCTCTTGTTATTAAGGCGCTGACAAAGGTAAGGGTGCTTCGTTTCCTCGTTGCGGATAAAGGGAATTAGTGTGAGTAAAAAAAAAACGCATCCAACTTTAACTTTAATATTAACTAATTAATTAACTCTTTAATATTAATTTTTCAAAAATCGCTGCAAATGATGTACAGTATATTCCCTTTACACTTTGTACCGCTATTATACAATATATAAGGTATTGCATTCTAGCTCAAGGTAATTTTCTTTTACAGATTTCATAAGATCCATGTGAATTCTGGTACAAAACCATAGTCCAAAGTGATATGATAAATAATGTCCTGTTCTTTGATTTATTTTATTTTACTGTGTTTCTCTCCTATTAGCAACGTTTTATCCTCCTTTTACTTGGGGAAGATCATTATGGAAATCCCCTCATTGACTCGTCCAGTATTCAGATACTGAGTATATCACCTTGAGCTAGGTATGCCCTGGAAATGTTCCGCGCGCGAAAAAGGGGTAATAAAGCAACGAGAACCACATTACAGGAGTGCATAAATGTGCACAAATGGCGGTACAGTACTTAGGACTCCGGAATTTACAAACAAGAGAATGCACTTAGTTAAAACGGTGAAATAAATGTTATACTGTATGTTGTTATCTTGGAATATCATCTCTTGTTTTATTTCACCAATCCCTAATGTATGTTGTGATGTTGATTATTTATCTTTTGGATTTGGCGATGAAGAAAATGCGGAAGGGTCCTTTATTTATCTGGAATATAATATAATATAATTATTATTATTACTTTATGCACAGCACTCAAACACAAAGACGGACAATCTTGAATGATGCGGTTTGAATATTATAACCACATGTATGAGGTTGAGAAATGAAACTGATATTACAGTAAACCAGAGGAGCATGAGTCACTGTTCAAGGCCTAAAATATCGTAAATAAAAGGAATATATTGTTTTGGCAAGCGCATTTTTCAAAGCCCCTTCTCGTATATGTAGGTTAACTCTTAGTCTTAACAACATAAAGGCAGAACAAATATTATTTTCTGTAAATCTTATACTTCAAAATGCCGAGAGAATAATTCTCTCTTCAGATAACAATTAAATTCATATTTTCATTTGAATGAAGTAATTTTTTTTTCTTTAGTCAACAGGTTAATATTGAATTAGTTTGCCTCCAATATTTCGATGTCTTATAGAATATCTTCATCAGGGAACGAAGCTATCCAGGTGAATAGCCTCTATTCAGGAGATATACTTGCCCCCTCCCCCCACATATTGCCTTAGGAAAGGGAGGTACATGTAGAGGTCAGGGAGGATGGTGCCATCATTTCTATTGAGACCCCTGTCTGCTTGATGTAGATGGCTTCAGGTACTTTCCTGTAATGTTCTGTTGGTTCACTGTCAACCACCTTGATATTTTTCAATTCAGTTTGACATCGAAATATTGGAGGTCAAACTATTTCAATACTAAGCTGATGACTGAAGAAAAAAATTCTTCATTCTTATAACATTACACAGCTGAAGAAATTCTTCTCTGACTTGTTTTCGTTTGGGATTTCAGGTTCTGCGGTTGATTGTGTGTCCTGTCTGTACCTCGAGTCTGATCAAGATATATCAGTGCTGAAGTTAATATACCGGGAGCATATGGATAGTAGATGTGCTGATAGCCCAACAAGCATCAATGAAACTGTTCCTTGTCCAGGATCTTGCATATTTAGCCGCGTTACAGGGAATATATATAGAGCGGTAAGTACCAGAATTAGAAATGATCATGGCCCAAACTTTATCTATCTATCTATCTATCTATCTATCTATCATTTATAATTATAATAATTTTTATTATTAGTCGTGGTGGTAGTAGTAATAGTACTGTAGTAGTAGTGTAAAACCCATATATGTTTCAGCATACTATAGATGTACATGTGCAGTATACATGTATATTTTATGACGTCAGCATACTATAGATGTACATGTGCAGTATACATGTATATTTTATGACGTCAGCATACTATAGATGTACATGTGCAGTATACATACATGTATATTTTATGACGAAATTAAGGCGGCATTCACAACAGCAGACTAACAAGTCCACAGATCAAATATGGCCGACCCACTTGAATACTTCCTCACGGGGAATCTATTCAGTTTCTATTAGCGGATTACACGGCAAACTTTTTAGTGGGTCGCCATATTTGACCCTGAATTCGGCCTAAGATGGTTACACATATTCCAACTTCTACAGTCTTAGCTATGTTCGCTTTTAGCAAGATTCGCCAGTCACCATTACCTACCGGGGTTGCAGTCCCGTGGCCAGTCAAAATGAGGGGTGTAGTTCCGTGTCCAGTGACCCCAAGGACAGCAACACCACGAGCCCTGGCCAGAAAAGCCTCCAGGAAATCTTGGATTACACTTTGAAGGGCGGCTACGCTATTAAAATAATGGGAAATTTGAATGGGTCTATCTGTGCCTGCAACTCCGATAGCTGTAACGGACAAGACTTGTCGACTCCTGTTGTTCAAGGTAAGGTAGGCCCTGGCGGGTGGTGCCGGGGGGGGGGGGGGGGGTCAGCTTGTCTCGTTATATGTACATATAAGTTATAACATATAAAACAAACGAAAACAATTTAATTATAATATGCAAGGGATACATGGGATAATTTGTTGATTTTATCTCGTTTAGCTTGATCTACTTTCTTTTTGGAGGGGAAAAGGGGCACCTGTCCCTGAGAATTTTAAAGAGAACACGAGATTCACCGTATCCTCCCTCCCGGAACCGCCTTTGGTATACAAACATGAACACGTGCGTGCTCACACGTGTGCACGAAAACACATGCATGGGAATTTACCCATTACATCAGCAACAATAACAAAGCAAGTGTAGAATACATAGAACAAAATACATGCAGTTATTCGAAAACATTAAAAAGCACCGTTTCTTATATAGAAAAAATAATGAATTAGAGGCCAGTTTGCATCACGGTGTTTTGGCGTTGGCGGATATATGGCCTTATCCAAACTATCTAACTTGTTGGAATATCTGTTCGAAAGATTACCCTACGAAAAAAAGCACCTTATCTTGGTTAATAAATGTCAGTCTGGGCTCTTCATTTAAAATAGCTTAGCTGCATTTGCCAAATGCCAACTCGAGTGGCAAGTGTCTGCTCACGCAGGTTATATCTTAGCAAATGCATAATATAATATAATATAATATAAAATAATATAATATAATATAATATAATATAATATAATAAAAATAATATAATGGTTGTAGCCACTCATTGTTCAACTCTTTTTGTGATATCGCTAATTTTTAAAAATTATTTTAAAAATCTACAATTTACAATGCATGTACCCACATATGTACGGTACACACAGCGCCCGGGTGCAAGTGAAGCTTAGTTTAATACATTTTTTTCATATTTCAGTCCCAGAAACGCAGTGCCATGAATGTATGTGGATGGAGTACAATTCCTCAGACCCCGAGTCTCAGCGGCAGTACGACCAGATAAATCCAGCCAGTGCTGGTCTCGATGTGGAGTGTGTGAATGACACAGCTAACACCCCACTCGTGCAGTGTGCTGGCTCCTGTCTCGTGCTGGAGTTTAAAGCAAATATGTCTATCAACAAGTACCCCAAACCGGTGAGTTAGAGCGTATTCAGAACAGTGGAACAACATATCGGCGGATCAATTTAATCCCGTGGGGATTACGCTACAAGCATTCGAGTGTGACAACCATATTTGATCCGCAGATCTGTTAGTCCGCAGTTCTGAATGTGCTCTTCAGCGCAGATTGAATTTTCTTGTTTATAAGCCTATTCATTTATCTTCTGGATCAATGAGGCCCAAAGCCGGTGTGGCACGTGACTAGGACACCCCGTCACGTGACCAGACCATTCTGCTCAGAGCGTCCTTTTCTTATGAAATATGCCAGCGCATTGCTTCTCGGGGAATGTTAAATGCAAAATAATAATAATAATAGTAATAACTAAAAAATAATAATTAAAATTAAAAACAATAATAATTAAATAAAATAATAAAAAATAGAATTAGAGTAAAAATAATAGTCTGTTTGTTTTCTGGCTTTACAAGATTTAATAAAGATGTTGACAAACATGAAGTATAGTTTTATTTGAGGAAAAATGAACACAGTAGTGTTTCTCATGCAGGAATGATTGTATCAAAGAATTCAATTTTATTTAAAATTCAATTTGCTTTTTTTATCCATTCGTCGCCTTTAGTTTCACCTGAGATTTAAAAGTGTGAAAATACGCCATAAAGTTAAATTGAAACTCAAACAATACCGGTGTAACGTGACACCTAGAGTCCCCCATGATAGAGAGTCCGCCTCGCCCTAGATTTTGACTCACTTACGTCAGGCTTACCCTTACCATAATAACTAAATGGATGGCGGACTTTCTGTTAAACGTATCCTCATTTTCGTTACACAGGCACCAGACCACTGGAAAAAAGTACGTACATGTATTTGATCAAAATATACACAAACGTATGCAAACCGTTCATGTTATTCAAAATGTGAAAAGCTGATTTGGAATTTGACATACAGTATGTACTAATGAACAAAGGCTGTAGAGGTACATGTGTACCATACATGTAGTATATGTATCTCTTTTATGCTTTGACCAAGGCCAATTAAGCATCATCACGATAACTAACTCAAGGAACACTTCCATATAGTTAATGATATGATTTTGTTTTAAATCACGTTCATAATAACACCAACATTTTTCAGGAGGAGAACTTAGAGATAACCATGATAAAGCGGCAATGTGCGGGACTACACTTACGTGACCAGATTCAAACCCTCAGTGACAAAGACGGATTAAGTTTCTTCCAGTTCGTTCCAAAATCTATCAAGAGTTTAAAGCAAAGGGCCGGAGCATATTTCAATGCTGAGCTAACTTGGCGCACGTGCAACAAAGATGGGTGTAACGAAGGGGACGTACTGACTTCCGAACAGAAAACGAGTGCCGCGCATGGATACAATGTCCGTAGCATAGTGCGTGAACTGACCAGAGTTTTGGCGCTAGTCATTGTAACGGCCTTGTTTTGGAAATAAGAGGCACGTTTAAGGGATACGTTTGTTGTTCATGTATAATTGTTGAATATTAGCCTGTTTGGAGTATATCAATTTTCAGAGCAGGGCCTATAAATGCTGTACAGTGCAAATGTAAATTTTCTGTCACCAAAACTTATTAACGTACAGTGTACTGTAGCTGGTATGTACACTCCATGAGGTGTACCCGCCAAAATCGATTTTCCTGGGAAAATAAGCATTTTTTTCGTACTCACGAATCATTTATCTATCCCTTTCTGCACTTGGATTCGACCTTTGATAAAATCTATAAAGGTTGATTTTAGCTTAAAATGACTGACCAGGTGTTATAACAGTGATCATTTTCTATACGCTCCAGTGGAAATATCAACGTCAGGTATGCTCTAAAAATATTTAAGGGGTTAAATCATTTTAATGTGTTAGTCAGTTTTTATGATAAAATGTGGATGGCGAATATAAGCATTTTTGGGATTTTCAAACCCATGGAGTGTACCTTTAATTATTGCTATGAAGTATGTAAACAATTCAATGAAATCTCTTTTTGGTTGTGAAATGTTAAAAAATATTATTGTAAATTGATTAATAGTTTGCGATGTTTAAAAAACTATAAAAAAGCATTTAAAAACATGTACCATTCGTTACTGTTAAAGTTTTGCAAACTGCATACAGCGTTAACGAAGCCGTAATCTAGTGTAAAGGGACTTTCTGCATCAGCTGTAGTTGCACTGGTTATATACGTGGTTTACCGATTGTTCATTGTTAATCCAGGATGGTTGTGACGTATCAATCGATGAAAAGGAATGTGTACATGTAATGCCCTCCTTACACGAAATCGCCAGATATTTGGAGTAGATTTTGATGCATTATACATAAATTTAGTTCGGCGGCTTAATTAGACCCAGGGGAACGATCGCCTGAATCATTTATTCCTGCAGCAAGTTAAGTATTGAGAAATGTAATAAAAATCATCCAGATGCTTTTAACCTCTGTTTGTTCTGTCGTGGACTAATCATGTTCATGTGTTGCTGACAAGGCTTTCGATTTGAAATCCATTTTCTTTGTTGGAAAGGAATAAGTATATCGGAGCAATGCCAAGCAATTCATTGGCATGGTTATTCAGCATGGTAATTCTACAAACAAGTGGCAAGCACACAACCAGTGAAGTGAGACGGTGCTCTTTCCCCAATACAGTCTGGGAGGCCAAAAGATGGCATGCAGGATTCGTGCCACGGGATATACCTAGTAGCTCTACCACCACATCCCAATACGGTGCCCCAAGTCCAGGAACCGAGGTAATTTTTAATGAATCTGCAATGAGAGGAGAATCGATTCTTCCGACAGATTTGTTCAATAGCACAGAAGAGATAGCCCCTTATATTTTAACATGCAACAGCCAAGTGACCGGGGAGGAAAACGCCACCGACGTAGACGGGCAGAAGTATATTCTTAGTGAATATTCAGGTACACTGAACGTGTCTGCCTACAGTTGCTTCCAGTTCATTAATATAAGTATGGGTGTGATCCAATTGAGAATATCATCCAGGCATTTTCTAAAAGGTCACCCGGGAAATGACATTTGTGACGACGAGCGTCTTCAGACTGTCACCTGGCCTTTGGTTCGACACTTCGAAAATTGGAAGGAGATGAGGCAATACGAGGTCAAATGTCCCCTTGACGGAGCTTACTTGATGTCCTTCGCGAGTGTTATCAGTACCATGTTCAGGAAGACGGTATATGGGGAAAGCGTCGCCTATCGTGTAAAAGAATGTGAATCTCTTATCCTGGAAGCAGGCTGCCTACCAGGCGAACCAGTTGCGTTGGATTTTAGGGAAGAAGTTTGCCAACTGAGCGATGTGGTTTACCATCCTTACTGCAGCACAGTGTTAGGGACGTGCTTAGGTTATTTGAATACAGGGAGGTTCATTTTTATACTTATACAAACCAATATCAATAAAAACGTCTTAACATTAAGGTTCACGTCAAACGCGGACAACAACTTCCCAGCTCTTCTGATAAAAGGTGCTCTTTTCGACCCGACGTATTCAACAGGCGACCAAAAAATGAACCCTCTATTTGTTTCGTTGCATTTGGCCAAACAAATGACCATTCAAACAACAGCTTGCAAAGACGATAGACAATGTGATGATAAATCTGTCTGTGATATGGGCCCGATAGGTCCTGCCGGGCACCGTTGCCTCAAGCATTGTGGGCACTGCAACAATACGTTCAATAAAATAACCAGATTTGGTACCTTTGCGGATCAATATTCAGGTATGTGGGAGGCAGAGAATGGCGAAGTTGTCAATATAACCGCCCACGCTTTCAGCACACTGACATATGGCGTACTGGAATACATAGCTTTCCCTTCTCATAGAGGAGCACGAGGCCATGTCGTCATGGCGACGTTAACAAATGGCTGCCGCGCCAGATATAAATGTTTGGACTTGTCAAGGCTGTACTTGAGTAATGTTCTATATTGGCGGATGGGGACAGGGTTTGAACCGTGGCCGGGGTATGGTCCACTACTGGTCGGTCATAGGTCAGTGTGTTTACATCATCGTGGTCATTGGACGGAATGGCAAGGCGTTAAAGCTGTTAACGTATCAGTCTTTTATAATACTGGTGTTAACGTGCTATTCACATGGACAGTTTTTTCCATAGGAATAGGCATTTATATTTTGATATGATTATTATAGTTTTAGCTTTTCAGATATACTGTTACCACGATGAGGAGAACAATCAGTAAATTGATTAAATTCTAAATTTTTCTAGTTCATTCAACGAAAACGTATCTTGGCTCATACCTGGCAGATCTTCTAATTCTACCCATTCTTTCCTTTCGAAAAAAGTGTTGATTTATCTTATATCTTTTTAAATATATTCACCCATTCAATAATATAGCGTTACCAAAGTACACGCACTGGACAATAGAAGTGTCACCCCTGAATCAGAGTAATCACAGTTATTAACCTGAAGAGGCGGAATATAAGTAATGTCAGAATATCGATACAGTTGGATTGTTCAGTCAGAACCGTTTCTTTTGTGAAATTTGATGTTAATAAAATGATACCAGGAACATATCATTCCACAGTCATTTATCTCCCGAAAAGTTTTGGTTCATTAGGGGTGACACTTCCATAGTCCAGTGTGTGTAGGAAAACGCCAGGCTCACCTACAGCAGCTTCGCAACACGAGTCTTTATTATCTATGATTGCAACTTGTTCTTTATATTTTCTTTCTTATCAGGGGCCTGTCTCCTAAAAAGTATTTAGTTTGTGAACTTACTAAGATAAGCCGCTTATATGTAAGTTACTTTTCAGAAAATCGTTTACTCGATGATTTTACCAAGCTCTGGTGACAGTAGTTCAAATAGGTCAAGTACATTTATTGTGACCCAATCAATCTTAAATGCTCATAGAACAGCAACACAAAGATAATTCGGCCGTCCCACTTTGGCAGTCAAGACACAGTTCAAGAAACGAGGCATTTTGTGAAACAGGTCCCAGATAAAAGTTGATCAAAACCAAGATCATCACTTAATATATACAGCATATGTTGACTTGCATTTAAGACCAATTTGAAAGAGCTATTACTGCGGAGTCTTCAGCGGGACCACAGGCTCAGTTCATTAATGCGCGGCGATTAGATGGATTGCATATATATCTTAGTACTGCTTATTATTCTGGGGAAATGGCCAAACATACATGTACCTTTCTACATTTTTCTGCTTAAAAGATACAGCCTTTACATTACAAAAATATGAAATTTTCCTTTAATTTGATTTAATTTTAATCACATTTTATTTGGCAAATAAACATCGATTTAGATTTTTTCATCGAATGCAGTATAAATTTTAACTTGTTTATTCATGATGAAAATAGTCGGTATATACTTTGCTTCATAACGCGTCTTTTATTTTACTTGTATTCATTCATGTATGCTGCTACAGGCATTTTTTTTGCCAAATTTAACAGGTTTCGACACATTTCGGCTCTGTTTAGCAACAATACCTGCCACATTTACTGTAGCAAGATGGATCACAACCACACCTATATGCACGTTTCTTTATCCCCTGAAAGCAAACAGAAAGTAAAACATAACAGTTTATAAAGTTATTTTCATTTTGCCACATATACATGTATATATTCATTTCAGCAATAAATATTAAAAAGTTTGCCACATCTGTGTTGGTTATATATTGTTTATATATATATAACCAATATATAAACTATTAATTTAAGTTCTGAAAAGCATGGTGTATATAGACATGCATACCTGCAGTGAATTGATGCTTTAGTAACGTGTTATGTATAGAGGAGATACCTGATTAATCCACGAAGCCTCTTTGTTTTGAAGATCTGTAAAGCGTTCGAGAACCACCCCTGGGGCAGCGTCTGCCACTTGTATGGCGGCAACCGCTACAAGAACCGCCAACGCAACCAGCAGTTTGTTCATCTTGTCTTTGATAAGATAAGAATTAAATAATTTACACCAGCGGAACTTTTCCAAGAGGTGTAAAGGCTAAAAACATTCATTGTAAGCGTGTGGGCTTTCATTTCCGTGTTATAATACTGTCGACTATTGCTTTCTCCTTCTGGTTCTGTATTTGATTATAAAAAAAATCACTTTCTTGTATTTTACTAAAATGGCACTCACCGTACGTTAAAATCTGCTTTACCATATCATAAGTTAAGCCAGGACTTACCTTGACAAAGAATGTCGGCCAGTATTTCTGAAATGCTTTCGCTGAAGTCAGAGACCAATTTATCCCGGTTCTTGCACTATGTATATATATTGTTTATGGTTGGTAGAAAAAATTATGTAATACATTAGTCAGTTATTGGCATGGATTATTTCTAAAGTGGTAATAAACATTACATCATATTACAGGAAACGTTTATTCAGCCGGCGTCCTGTTTTGAAGTGAATTAACTGTTTAAGTTAATGCATTAATGAGTAACGTTGATAACCAAGTCAGCCGTGATAGATCAGGTAATAAGATGATTTCATGTAAAGGCAATCTCCATCGTCGTATGAGGCTGATGTGATTATGATATTGAATGATTTTCATTATTTTCGTACTTTATTTCACTGAGCGTTTGGATAATTATTGAAATTATTACCTTTTTTATGAAGGATTTTCACGTGGGTGTCATGAAGTTTCAATGTTTTTATTCTTTTTTTTCTTTTTCTCTACGTTTTATTTTTATTTATCCTTTTTTTAGCCTGTTATCTGCGTATATCGGTAAATGTGGACTCCTATTCATATGTGAGATGGATTCATAGATCGATTTTAAGATAGTAGAGATGCAGTGGTTATATTGGTTTTTTTTATGAACGTAAGTGAAATCGACACTATGTGGAGCTGCATCGCCAACTACACTGTACCTGAACTGAATTCCTAAAGCAAAATTTACACAGATGTTCACTATCGATCAATGCCTTCTAATTATACGAATGGCCTTTCAAATGCCTTCACGTGTTGATATTTTGTTGACTGTATCTGTTTTTTAGTATTATTTCTTTTTTATGAAAACACTTTTTTTCAAAACAAACATGAGATATGTACGAGAAATATCATAAAGAATCGGCGATTTCACCTGTAAAAGATTACCATGGCCCACAAGAGCCTTAGTGCGTTTCTTGCTGAAACAAGCCTACCCAACTACCAGGCTCGACACCGAATGATCCTGAATTCACCGGTAGATCGGACCACACTCCTCGTTTTCAAGGTGTGTATCAGTAAGCGCTTCGAAGTACCAGACCCGACACCGCTCTTGCCTAGTACACGATGTGATATAGCGATGATTCTGAGCGGGGTTGGAAAGTAGTGCATCTCATCTCAAAATTTGTGTCGGGGTATGACACTGTGAAATGGGGAAGGGGGGGGGGGAGGGGGGGTTCGAAAGACCCTTTTTGACGGGAAAAGGTCAGTTTTATACATATTAATATGTTTTGGGCTAATTCATGGCACGATTCGAAGAAAAAATATGTAATTAAGCTGCCGCCGTGGTATAGGGTGCCATCTTGCTGTGTAAACCAATTCGTGTTTAAGAGATGATGCTTTTGATAGATGCAACATCCTTCGCGTTTTGTTGATATAAAAATCAAATGTGAATTATGTGGAACTGGGTTCTACTTTTTATAAAAAACCCTACTCCCCATACATTTTTCACATCATTGATAATATTTTTGTACCAAGAAACTAACATGCCCGTACTGTACTCATCAGAAAATTGATTTAGTTTATATATTTTATCGATGATTTCATAACTGCCACAGCAACTTTAGATGATTGTTTAGAAATAGCGAGGGGTTTGGAGGGGGGGGGGGTTGGCTTCGCATCTGTGGACCCCCGCCGAAGTGCCCCCCCCCAAAAAAAAAAAATTGGCATTTAGAGGACGAACGAATCTATATGGTACGGTTTAGAACTATAAATCAACTAATCAAAATTCTAATTCCAAGAGGGGAAAATTAGTGTGATTTTTTAGAGACTGAATGGGGGGTCAGGACCCCCCTGACCCCCCTCTTAATCCGCCACTGGACACTATTTCCACATAGTTACGACCAGTCACCAATTTAAAGAAAAATATTTATTGATGTACAAGTAAAGTATATACAGTAAATTATGTACAGTATAAATTCATGATAAAGCAAGGAAAACATTTGAAAAAACTATCATTTTATACATTTGTGCATTTAACGCTTATACCATTATATATTTTGTTTCTAAAATTATAGAAAAGAAGATTTATTCTTAAATATATCAATATTATTATAGAAAATTATATGTAAAAGATATGTAAATAAGTCTTGATATGTCAACTAAAAAATGCAATGCAAATCTTATATTTCTGTAGAGGTCATCTAGATATCATTAAGATGCTTTTGATATGTTACTGGTACACAAAAGAATCACACAAAATCTAGACTACAGTTCGACACCCCAATACCAGTGAATGTACTGTTTGATCGGGAATTTTTCTGGGAGACGTCGGTAGAAAATCCCACTGAATTACTGGACCCACAGCAGCAGGTAGCTTTTCTAAAGTTCCGACAGATGGCGCAAAACAAGATAAACGGGAGCGACATGTAAACAAATATCATAACTTCAGATAATTCTTTCAGTTCAACATTCAGGCTGCTTGAAAATGTCTTTTCGCTGCCATAAACTGTGATATTTGTAGCTAAATACAAGCTGAGAGAATTACACAGTAGAAACATGGTTGCCATAGCAACCACCCCTGACGTCATGTGACTCGCATCTCCGGTAGACGATTGTCCTATGAATGATTTTTTACACTGAGATCTAAAGTTTGAAATGGCGATGACCAACAATAATAATAGCACAAACAAAACGACGTATGGAAGGGTGACCGTGAGAGTCGTGTTGACGTACTGGCGGAATATCTTGTAAGCTGCAATCCGAAGCAGCTCTGTCGCAATCAGGGGTTCCGCAGACGACAGATCAGGGTTTGGTGCGTACTCAAAGCTCTTAGACAAATGGAACAGCGTGACGGCCACAAATACCCCAAGAATTGTCTTACTGGCTTCTGGGACGGTAGAGTGCATGGACGGAGAAAAGGGGTAACGAAGAGACAGGAACCTTTCCAAGACGACGGCGACAGTCAGACAGGTGACAGCTGACAGCAAGATTGGGTTCAATGCATTCCTGAAAATGGAAGAATAAGGATGAGCGTAAGTAGTCAGCAATTAAGTAGTTATATTTTTATGATAAGTGCAGCGCATAAAAAGACGTCTTTTTATCAAAACCGCAAATGTATAAATTAAAATTTACAAACTAACGGAAATATTAAAACTGACCAGTACTTATTTCTGTACAATTAGGTAATTTAATAAAATGAATACAAATATCATAATAAAATGTATTTAAACACTCGTCAGTGCGGCGATAAACACATACCTTGCGATGAGATAATGCCTGTAGAAAACCTGGAAACCTTCCGAAGCATACAGACTTTTATCACTGCACAGAAGATGAGGAACTTCAATGACACAATGCAAGAAAGCAGACGCTGTTAGACCAATCAGGAGACGCGCTGTAGCAGACAACCGGAATATTCTCCTCATCAAAACCAAAAACGCTGCTGCGTTTCCTAGAATTCCAATAGCTATGACGACAGGAAGAACAATGTCATGAATGATATGTGTACATCCTAGACACATGCGAAATTCCGTTTCAGGTAGCTCTGACCATGAAATATTTGTTGAATTGAAAAGTTCAAATATGTTTGTATGAGAAGTAAAATGTCTCTCTGGTGTTTGTGCTTGGCTGCCACTGTGCGCTGTGACTGAAGTGTTTAAATGTGTGACTAAGTCTGTAGTATGTCTAGAAATGAGTTCGTATGTCCTGGTAAAGACATCAGTGATGGGTTTATCCGATCCCGTTGTTGTTGAGGTAGTGGTATCTATATTTCCTGTCCTCGCCGCAGTGCTGAAAATATCGTAAGAATCTGGTCTCTCTGACTGTAAAATGTTTTTATTGATTGTGGAATGAACTGGGACAGTATCTGGACGACCCGTGATGACTTGGGTCAGAATGTCAGATAATCTCGACCTCGTCACTGCTTGTGGATTTCCTGTATATGCCGCTGATGGCGAGAAGATGCTAGTGGTGGAAGTCGTGGGTGTATCGCTGGTCACGCTTCCGGTAGTGGTAATTCCAGATGGGTCTTTGGCATCACTGTCGTCCCCTCCTCCGAAATCCCCATAATCGTAGCCGCCAAATTCGCCGACAAGAAAGTGATCTCCGCGCCTACTGTACATCTGGGAGAAATAGAAAATATTTTATATCTTTTAAAAGGTAGTCCTTGAAGTAGCTTTGTGGCAAACCTTTATACCCAATAAATCAAACACTAGAAATGCAATCGACTGACGAGAAAAAAGAGAAGTTGAGTGTATTTGCTATTTTTAAAGGTTCTACTTTATGCTAACAAGGCACTTCAAGGTCATGAAACTGATACAAGTTCCAGACATCGTTCATTCGAGAAAACCAGAAAAAACTATTTACTAAACATTACTTGCTGTAATATTTCGAGGCACTTTTGTTCTGGATAGTTTACCTTGTTACGCTGCATCTGGTTTATTTCCTAATGTTATTTTGTTTCACTGTATGCTTTTGCTTTTTTTAACTTCACAGTTTCCAAGCTTATTTAAGTGCACAAATTTTTAAATTAACACCATTTCTGCCGGGAATTGCATTTTTAATTTTCTCAATTGCAATATCTTAGAAAAAGATGAACGTATGCTGTTTATGTACGTCTTCATTCAGTAACTTCTCATTATGGCCGAGAAACTAAATGCCTTATACATTCGAATTCAACTCATCTTAAAGTATGAATATTACTTTTAATTTTTTTTTACTTTTTTTTCGTTACAAATAACATAATTTAAGAGACACAGATTTAGTCTAAAGTTATTATTAAACTGATTGAAAAAGAAAACACTTACCTTTAACTTTTAATGTTTAACTTTTCATGAATTAAGATCTGCTGGAAGATGGTAGAGACTTAAGAGCGTAACGTAAAGAGTCCGTTTTCTCTCTCCTTCCGACGAGGCCGTCTTATATAGGGTTCGACACTTGACAAGCTTGAGTGATGAGACAGGCGGAAACGGACGGAAATAGACGACGCTTGGGAAACCCGACCGCTTGAGTCATAACCGATAACCGTGACCTGATAAGAATGAAAACGGCAGAAGAAAGGGGGGTGATAACTTTCTGATGAAAGCGGACCGTTTATTCATATTGTCCGATGCAGATGTCAATGTACTTACTGTTAAGTGCTAGCTGCTTTTAATACTTTTTAAACGGACCTATATGTATATAACATTTCTTATGAATGCTGTCAGCCAAATGATTTACCTTACGCCCCTTTATTACAATTAATGGACTCGACCGCCATCTGGATTGGCATGTATTGCCATGTTAGGAATTCCCATACAACAACGTCCACAGCGTTTACTATTTTAACACATCACGAGACGAGGAAGTGATCGAAGGAAGTTGAAGTGTACAAATCTCTTTAATTGATTTTGGCGTTAATAGGGAATAAAGGTTTAAAAAGTATGTAAAAGTAACTACAAGTAACAATTAATGGAAACCATTCATCCAAGAAAAAAGAACTTTTTTCAGTATCGTTTTAGACGATGCTTGAGGTGATTCTCTTAATCTAATGAGCCGAAGAATGCCATTTTCGAAATCGAGAAGTGTCATGTTCTTTGACTTATTTTACAGATAATCGAATATGTTATCCCATTTAGAAGGAGAAATTGGTTTTCAGGTTAATGAAAAAAATCACCTACACAGAAAAGTTTTAACATTTCCATGTACTTTTTACTGCTGTTGGCACAGCGCAGTTCCTTTTCTCAAACAGCTGACATATATAGTTAGCAAGAACCATCATTAGCAGTTCTCTGATACCGTTTACAAAAAGTGGACGATAGCATTACTGGGTGAGCGTTTGATGTTTCACAACATATCTTAAGACGCAAATCAGTATCAGCATGGTATACATGTATCGTTGACTCGGTGACAAAGGCCCATTCTACCTTTTGTGGTATGCTTGGCTGTAAGCAACTTTATGGGACCATAAAGGTCTACTAGCGGGATCGATCTATATGCGAGGCCATCCTTGCTAATCGCATTCGGTTTAAGCGTGCACGAAAGTTAATTACCCCCCTAGCAGCTTCAGTGGACGTGACAAACATTTAAACCGCTTAAACTGAATGCAATTTAACGAGAATCCCCCCGGAGTTCGATCGATACTGTTAGTACGATAGGTTTATGGGAAACCAGTATATGCCTGCCCCTACTTTGTATATAATTACATTCCAAGGGATTAAACTCGCTTCCACAAGTTCGTTTCCAACTGTTCAGGCCAATCGAAATTAATCGAAACTCTGTTTAGGAGACCCACTTACGTAATCTTGCCAAGCTATTACATGTAAGTTGTCAATCTCTCAACACGATGCGAAAGAGAGAAGTGTACCACACGGTGTGAGAATTGGACGCTTAATCAAGTCTCCAGCATTGCAACCTGGCACTAAGTCAGTTTTAAGTGAAATATTTTCGCAACCTCCATCGTTTTTTTCACCAACCGCTTTTAAAAGTAGCGGTCTCCAAGTAACTTAAGTCCTGTTTGATATGGTATCTGAAAAAAATCACTATTTGAAACGCTTAACAGCTGTGATGCAAATTATTTTTAGTTATGTGGACTTGGAGGTGTGGCAGCGTTTTGATCAAGAGTGATCCCATGACTCTTACAATTATAGTGAATGATTGAAATTTCCAATAATGAATTTCTAAATATTTCATACATGCACACTGTAAATGACAGTAAGGTATGAAGTTATAATTCTGTATTGCTTCCTAGGTAGACCTCCCGGGACATAGGGCGTTTCTTCCTTATCACCGAAAAAACGTCTACCCCTTCCCGCGTATTGTACGCAGTTCCCTAAGAGGGCATTCCCAGAGATTTACATCGATCTTACTAGATCGACCTAACTCCCTGGGGGTTCACGTTAAATTGCAGTCAGCCGACCGCACACGGAAGTTAATTACCCCCTTACAGCTTGTAGTAGGCGGGACGGACATTTAAGCCGGATTATCTGACAGTAATCAAGTGAGACTCCCCACGGAGTCTAAAATCTATGGGAATGCGCCCTTATAATAGGTCTCACGGTGTCCACAGCTTCGTTCACAAGCTACCTCGAATATGATTTCTATCATGAAAATATAAGGTCAGAAACAGTAACAGAACAACATTATTATCAATGGGTTTTATTAATCAACTGAAAAAGATAATGTTGTTCTTGGTAATTAAGCTGTAAGTTTAAGTTTAAAAAAACATGTATGCACTTCTCTCCTTCATTTACTTTGGGTGAAGTGTAAATCTTTGAAGAACCTTATTTTTACTTTTTTTTTTCATGCATACCATTAACTTTTAGTACCTGCTTTTTAGTAAATTTATTCTGTTATCTTTTTAGCCTGCTTTAAAGTTGAAATAAATTAACTGGCGCTTTTAATGTGTGATAATAGTTTGTATTTAAGGTTGATCTTTGAGTTTTTGAGTCACAGTGCTCGAGAGAGGGTGTAGGAGTGAGTGATTAGATATGCAAACGTTCTTGATCGCATGTCGGCGTTTGTTTAGGTTTCATCATAACGCCTCCTTCGTGAAATCGAATAACCGTTCGTGATACATGTGCAAGCTGGAAAGAGAGCGTGGCATATTTCTGGTACGCGAAGCAAACCAGCTTTCACGTTGTCACCGATAAGGTACGTACAGACGCTGGATCACCTCCCCCCCCCCCTTCGCCCTGCACCCCTCTCCG